GTGGGATGGACAGGGTGAGTGAAGGAACATCTGGCCAGACACCTGGTGGGAACCGACTGGGGAACAGGGAGGGATTGTAGGAAGTGCTAGGGTCGGGTGAAGGAAATCAGTTCAGGGTCAAATTCTGAATTCTGTCCTAGGAATCTGGAGGATTCCTGGACAAGGCACAGGTGGTGGAAGCCAGCACTGCATATTGGCATCTTGGTTGATGGAGCCACACTCTTTCCTCTGAAGGAACATGCCATCACACCGGGCCCAGTGCCAGATGTGGGGTCTAGACAAAGATTTAGCTACAGCCCCTCCCTGCAAGCTGACACTTGAGCTTCAAGGAGGTAGGCCAGAGGTCAGGGTGAGGGCATTGCAGGCACTTTGAGGAGATGCTCCCCCAGAGGAGGGTGACAGGACCTTGGAAGGATGAATAGGGGTTGTTTGGGACACTATGAGTGAGGGGGACCGGCACATATGACTCTGGAGTGGGACCCAAAAGCTCTGGGATGAAGGAGGTTAGATGCTTCGTGGCTGAGTGTTCCCCATCAGTTTAGAGTCCCCTTCCAGGCTGGGCTTGTGCCAACAACTCTGACCTGGGCAGTCCGGCCGTCTGCTGCCTGGCCTGGCCTCCCTGGCCCCTGCTGTGCTCCTGATTAGTTGGCATGGCAATGGCAGGGGCAGCAGACGGCTACTCCTCGCATTCAGCGCCTTCCTCTCCTGACTGCTCACTGTGCTCCGCTGACCAGGCCAGATCAGAAAGCATGCAGCCTGGGGGTGGGGGGGCAGGCTATAGCCATAGCACACCTCTTTCTCTGCTGTGCCTCACTACCCGGCAATGGGTTGTGCCCCTGGCTGAGTTGGCCTGGCAGAGTGGCTGGCCTAATCCAGGATGACAGCTCCTGTCTGTGGAGCACCTCAGGCCTGGAGGGGAGATGCCCGCCAGGAAGTGTACCTCCTTCTTGCCACCTTTCCCTTGGCCACCAAGGGGCCTCCTGCCTGGTTGATGCTCAGGTTCTCTTGCAGCAGAGGTCCCACCCTGGAGTCTCCTTAGGCTTGGGGTAAGCTGCTCTGTCCCTTTCCCTGACCAGCATTTGCCACCACCGTGCCATCTAGACATCTACCCTGATGTCACCCATGTCAAACTCCCAGGCCAGACCCTTCTCTCCTGAATCCCAGACTCTGAACCTCAATGAAGCAAGTCCATGAGAATGGATGCCCAGGTACTCCGCATATCCGGATGGAACCCCATCTCCACCGATGGCGTCTTCACAGTTAGTACCGCTGGACAAACACAGATTCACATACTCACTAGACTCGTTTCTCACACGTACTTCACCGTGCAGGGAGCCTCGTCTGTTTTTCTAGTTTCATTTTATTATTTTTTTTTGTGTTATTTTTATTTTTAGACAGGGTCTTAATCTGTAACTCAGGCTGACCTGAGATTCACTATGTAGTCCAGGCTGACCTTGAACTTGAGGCAGTTCTTCCCCTCAGTCTCCTTGAGTGATTAACTTATATCTGTTCTCTACCACACCTGGCTTTATCTGGTTTGATTTTTAAACTGATATGTCCCTGGGTCAGGGCAGTGTGGTAGTGGCACATTTCCCATTCAGGACCTGTGGAAGGGACCATGCAGAAGGGACCATCCATTCACCCATTGCTCTTTCATTCCTCTGAGCTGTCATCCCCCATGAGGCTGCTGTGGGCAGACCTTGGGCAGGACTGCAGAATATGGGTCGCCCCTGGTCTTGCATGCAGACCCGTGTGAGTTCGGAAGCTGGATTCAGAGCAGTTGAACTCTGAACCTATATAAGCCACTTCAAGTAATAAGTGCTATGATTGAGGGAGAACAGGCACCAGCCCAGCCCTGGGAACCAGAAGAGGAAATCCCAGAGCAGAGAAAGAAAAAAAATGAGATGGCCCTCTGAATATGTGCTGGCCTGAGGGAGTCAGGAAGCTGGGCTCTGCAGAGAGTGCAGTAGCAGGGGCCAGGCCTGCCTGAGGCAGTGGGCCTGGGGACCTCCTGATAGCAGCAGTCAGGATGGGCTGAGGGGAGTGTTGAAGAGGTGTGTGTGTGTGAACTGCCTGCCTGTAAATGAGGCTACTGTGGCCCAGAGAGCGGTATGCCTTTCTACCCAGTCAGAACTGGGATCTCTTCTGGTCTGTTCTGGGTGCTACCTGGGGTTGATCTGCATCAGATGTCATGTGCCATCTGCCCCTTCTTGGCTTGGGAACAGGTCCCAAGTTGTACTTTTGGGGCTACCTACAGCCTCTCTCCACCAAGGCCCACCTGACTCTTGACCCAGGCTGAAGGCCCCCACAGTAAGCCCAGCCTAAGAGACGGAGAGTGTGTGATGGGGGCACTAGAAGCCAGAGTACTTCTGACAGATGTGCTGGGGATCCTGGAAGACTGCTTAGAGGAAGAGAAAGATCAGGTAGAGAGGGTGCCCGAGACAGTGCCCTGGGCCCCAGGGACGTAATACTTTAAGAATCAAACCAGGCCAGGTAGCCCTCCTTCCCTCCCTCCCTCCCCACTCCCATGCACCTCCCCCTTGCTCCATCCCTCTCTTCTCAGTCTCCTTTCCTGAGTCCCTCCATCTTCCTGTCTGTCTCCATTTCTTTCTACAGCTCTTCTCCATCACCATTTCTGCCTCTTCCTACCTCCTCCTCCCGGTATGCCCAGCACCAGGGGACTAGGGGAAGAGTGTCACCATCCCGACTCTCTTGGTTACTTACAAGATCAAGTACATAAAAGAAAGCTTAGCCAGGGTCCTCTGGGTCCTGCCTGACTCTTAATCCTGTGGTTCCATTTCCCTGGACAGCCAGGGATGAATTCAATTCGTGCTAAGTTCCTAATTAGCTAATTATACCTTGGCTCTGTGGCCCTGGGACTCCCTAGGCCCCAGGGAAGCCTGGGAGCGGTTACTTGGCCCACTGGGCAGAAGGGAAGCAAAGGGGAGGGAAGAAAAGGGGTTGTAGTTTGGGGAAGGCAGCCAGCAGCTCAGAATCTGAATATCTTGGAGAACAAGGGAAACATAATTAATTGAGCAACAAAGGCGACCCTTGGGAGCAGCCAGGAGCTGCCAGACTGGGGCTGCGCTAGCTAGAGAGCCATGGAGTGAGCTGCTTCCTGGCTGCTCTGGTCCTGCCTTTCCAGTTGCTGCCTTGGCCCAGCCTCTGGGACTGCCCTTCCTCTGTAAGAGCCCAGAGCCTCTTGAGGGCTATACCTACTTAGAAATCTGTCAGGAGCCTCTGATTAGTCATCCACATGAGTCCCCTGTCCCACTCCTTATATCCCTTTGCAGCAACTCCAGGCTCTTTTCCAGGGAGCTATGCATGCTCCTAGGCTATGCCTTAGCCCCTCAGCCCCTCTGGAAGGCGCCTCACACCCTGTAGGGTCCAGCTTACTTTCATCCTCCCTACAAATGTGTCTGTGGGCTGGGTCCTTTATTAACACAGCGGTCCCTGATTCCTGCTGCTAGGCTGTGAGCTCTGAGAGGGATTCTCAGCAAAGTTCCATAGGCATCGATTGAGTGTTTGAGGAATGAACACACATGAGTGAATGAATGAGCCCTAGGAAGGCCTGCAGTTGGTTGACTTAAGTCCGTTGGATCTGTTTGGAGGAGCTCCTGGTGAGATTGTGTTGTTTCTTTGCTCCCCCCAGTGTACACCCCTTGTTCCTATATTGAGGGGTGGGCATAGAGAGCTGGAGCTCCAAGCCCTTGCCTTAGCTGTTCTCAGTTAGATGACAGAGCCTCAGTTGGATGAGCCCTACTGCCTTTCCTGAGAGGGCGCTGACCTAGAGAGAAGATGGGAGTGGGCATTAATTATTGATTGGAAATCACCCCAAAACGTGTTGATGATGCAAATCCGTGATAGTGACCCTTGTTGATAACTATGTCAGCATCACACTGGGATGAATCAAAACCTGACAGGACCTCTGCTCTACTTTCACCACCCCCTCCTCCCCTCTCCAGTCTTCCACTCTTTTCCAGTCTTGTTCATGAGTAGTCATTCAACAAACATTGACTGAGCCTATCTTCTGGTCCAGAACCTCCTGGGTTTTGGCAGTATTGAGGTGACTCAGATACAGGTCTTGCCTCCAGGAGCTTACGGCCTACTAGATAAGACAGGAAGGTAAACAGACAACTATTTATTTGGGCTAGGTGTTTAAGGAAGTGGGACTTCTTGGGGGTGTGCTGTATACCACTGATATAGTTAAACATGGCAGCCTAGGCTAGATCAGAGCTGTGGAGATTGCCTGGAGCAGGAGAGTGAGGGATGGGGTGAGAAAAGTTCTGGAAAGCTTCACAGAATGAGCTTTCACATGACTGTGGTGGGTGAATAGGAGTTTGTCAGGGCGCACCAAGAAGAGCAAGCAACATAGATAAAAGACTTGTCGTAGAAAGAGGGCTAGACTCGGTGTCTGGCAACCTAGTTTAAATCCATAACCTTCTGTTTCTTAGTTGTGGGACCCTGAGCAAATAATATATCCTAATATTAGCAGCCTTATGGAGTTCTGTGGTAATTTTTTTTTTGTTTGTTTGTTTTTTGGTCTTTTTGAGACAGGGTCTCTCTGTAGTCTCAGCCAGCCTGGAAACCTGGAACTTACTATGTAGATCAGCCTGGCCTTGAGCTCACAGAGATCTGCCTGCCTCTGCCTCCCAAGTGCTGGGATTAAAGGTGTGGACCACCACGCCTGGCCTCATGGAATTTCTATAAGTCTAAAGGAAGTCATATTTGTGTATGTCCCCAGGAGAGCACTCAGCACCTAAAAGGGCTCCCTAAATGTCTGCTCCTTCACCACAACCTTATGGAAGTGTGATAAGGCTCAGAGCCATTTTCCTGGCCTTGTGGGCTGAGGGTCAGACATGGAGAAGGGCCTTCTGGCAGCCCCAGCAGACTTGGAGCAGGTGGCCCCTTCTCTTCTCTGGCCACCTTTCTGTTTCCTTTTTCTTTCCTGCCCTTCCTATCTCCTCTCCGATGATGCTCCTCTGCCCTCCCTCTCCCAGGTATGCGGATTCTGGTGAACCTGCTCCTTGACACGCTGCCCATGCTGGGGAACGTGCTGCTGCTCTGTTTCTTTGTCTTCTTCATTTTTGGCATCATTGGTGTACAGCTCTGGGCTGGCCTGCTGAGGAACCGCTGCTTCCTGGAGGAGAACTTTACCATGTGAGTCCCCCACTTCCCATCCCTCACATCCTGCTGATTCTGACCTGCCTCCTGCTAACTCATTTGCTAACTGGGAATTGGACCAATAAAGCAGAAGCAGCCAATGAGGGAAGGCTGAGTAGGAGGAGAAGGAGGACTGGACATAGGCAGGAGGCTAAGTCCCAGAACACAGTGCCTCTGTGGGAGAGGGGACAGGGAGGAGGGTGTCATCACCCTGCTGCTGGGTCTAGAACAGGGACGGGGTGCCCCTGAGGGCAGAAGATCAAAACGACTTAAGCATAACTCAACCCTCAGTTCTTGGAAGAGGTAGGTTTAGTTTTGGAAAATGATGTTTTTAGAATCCCATCTTCTTCAGCAATGAGGGCTACCCAGTGCATGCACATATACTGTGTTTGTAAATAAACATGCTACGATGACACATTACTGAGATCCCACGGAAACGGAAAAGCAACCAGATCTGTTTTCACCTGGTAAATGTGCCTAAGAGGCTTCCCTTTGAGCCAGGATGGGGCTACTGTCCATGGGCAGTGCCAGGCTAGGGGCTGGTTCCAAAGACTGGGTGCCTCCTCTGGGTGAGGTGATATGGGGATGCTGCACAGGGGTGAGCTGAATGTCCTCCCTCGTAGTCTGGAAGGCCAGGGATAATGTGGTGGAATGGGAGGTGAAGGTCCAGTTGGGAGCTGCCCATTGCTGTTATGGGCAGCAGTGGGGTACCTGGGTAAGGCAGGGAAGGGGCACCCATGGAGGGAGTGGGGCTTTTACACTTATGTCAATGCTCAGAAGAGACCAGTACTTAGCAGACCAGGGAAATAGAGGAGGGGGAGACCTCCAGAGAGCAGCAGTTGTGAGTTCTTAACTTTGGAGTTTGCAGTACATCCACACCCCTGTCTCACATGGATTTTTATTATGCAATTTTGTGGCTGGTCCTGCCCCATTATCTAGGCTTAGCCTTCATGTGACCCCTTGCTGCCCCCTCCTCAAACATATGTGCACACTGTCTGCTAGACTTCCTTCTGGGTGGACCTCCTCCTGCAGTGATCCCCCTTGTCAGCTTGAGGTCTTAGGGGTCTCTGGGGTGGCTTACTTACTTGATCTTGGGGGACCATGGATGTGAATAACTGTTCCTTATTCTTCTCAGGGCCCGGGATAGGGCTCTAATAAGTTCACTGTGAATGAATGAGGGAATGAGTGACTGAGAGGATGAAGGAATAAGATCTGAATGACAGCATGAATGGGAGAATGAATGAATGAATGGGAGAGTGAAAAGGAATCAATGAATGAGTGCATCTCCTGCCTAGAGGTAGATAGGGAAGAGAACTGGTGTTCCCTGTGTGCTGCTTCCTGGCTGGCCGTTGCTCTCGTCCTGCCTTAACTGTGAGGTGGGGAGGTGGAGGCATGATGCTGTGTGCACACCTGGGTCTCAGTGCTAAAGGGCTGGGGTAAATGAGGGAACTGGGCTGGGCTGCCTAATGTTACTGATTGGGCTCAGGCACAGCTGCACTGGGGCCCTGGGCACATAGGGTGGGGCTGGCAGAGAGCATCAGGGGAAGGGTTGGTGGGAGGGTCCCCAGTGAGAGCAGGTGGTCATTAACCTGGCAGGAGTGGAGCCTGTCACCCCTCAATGCCAGCTGCATGGACCAGTGAGTTCCAGCTCTTTTGAATATCCCTGCCCTGCACTTATGATTCAAGGAAAAATTTTACATATATCCACCAGAGACCTCAAATCCAGAATATATAAAGAGCTACTACAAATTGATAAGAAAAACAAAGATGGTTTAATTAAAAAAATGGTCCAAAAGACCTTACCAGATACTTCCCAAGGGAAGTACAAGTGGCTGATGAGCACGTAAAAGGCAATTGAAAGGTAATTGAAAAGACAGTAAGGCATCATAGCATCCTACCAGGATGGCTAAAATGAAAAGGACCAGTGTTGCCACGGGCAGATGCCAAGCATGTGCTACACTCCCCTGTGTTCGTGGAGGTGTTAGGCATCCATTTTGGAAGGGTGGACAAACCTAACATGAAACACGGCCCCAACTCCACAGGTCTGTCCTGGGACTTGGCTCAGAGAAAAGGGTGAATAGGATGAGGATGTAGCGTAGCTGGCAGAGCGTTTGCCTAGCGTGCATGAGGCCCCGGGTTCAGATCTCAGTGCTGCAAAGAAAAAAAAGACAGCCATTGCTCCTCGACTGGGGGTGGTGACTCACTCCTGTAATCCTAGCATGCAGCGAGCTGAGAGGCAGGAAGATCGCCGGAGGCCAGTTTGAGTTGAAAAAAAAAAAAAACCACTCCCCTGTCCTGCCCCCCTTCACCCCCCAAATAGAAATAAAAGAAAAAAAGAAGGCTGGCTTTTACCTGCCCAACAGTGTGGGCAAAATAGTTCTGGAATGACCCAAGTAGATGGCAGGATGTAATGGCGGTGTGTGCTCACACAGTGAACTCACTTCTTGGTAGGAGCTCAGAGAAGAGGCTGTTTGACTCTCCTGTTGTTGTTTCTTTGGTTGGCTTTTTGAGACAGGGTCTCCCTGTAGCCCCAGCTGATCTAGAACTCACTATGTAGAGCAGGCTGGCTTCAGTCTCAGAGATCTGTCTGCCTCTGCCTCCTGAGTGCTGGGATTAAAGGTATGGACCACCACGCCCAGCCTCCTCATACTGTTTTTTGAGAAGCAAAATCTTGACCCAAGAATCACATTCAGTTTCACATTTTTAGCATTATTTGTGAATCATTTTTTAGCATTATTATTTGTGTCCAGTTGAAGAAGTCTTTGCCTAGCCTGAGGTCAAAGCATTCCCGGGTCTTCGTCTTTCTGGCTGCTTTTTTCAGTTAGGTCTGTTCCATTGCAAAGAGTTTTGTGTGTGGCCTGTGGTGGGTGTAGTGACATCAAGGTTGATTTATTTAATAGATATTCAGTTGTCCCAGAACCATGTCTCACAGTTCAGTAGTTCTGCAAGGGACTGCAATGGTGTCTTTATTGGAAGCAGGGGGTTGTATGCCTTTGGGTGGTTGTGATGGGGGACTCTGGAAAACTATCCTTATACTCACATCAATAGTGTATACATCTGTACATTTACACCCGTTCTTCTCACATTCAGAGTTATAACCCCGAGGCATGGGCCGGTCAGATGAGAGGAGGTGATCTTAGTGTTATTTGTTTGCCTTTTTTGGTATTTTATTTATTTATTTTATAAGACAGTATATCCAGACAGGTGTAGTGGCACACATCTATAATAAGTTTAAGGCTATCCTGGACTATATGAGACCCTGTCTCAAGAAACCAGCCAACCAAACAAATGCAAAAAAAAAAAAAAAAGACAGTATCTTGTTATATAGTCCAAATTGACCATGAACTCAACACGTAGCCCAGGCTGGCCTTGAACTGACAATCCTCCTGCCTCGGCCTCCTGAGTGTTGGGATCACACAGGCATCACTCCAGCTCTGTGTTTGCCTTAAGACACGGTCTATCTCTGCTCCGTGGACCTCCACTAAGTGTCCTGGCCCTCTAACACCACACTGAGCTCATAATTATAGTGGCAGAGTATTCTGTTGCCTTCTGTCTGTCCTTATGCTTTTAAAACCTGCCTGGATTATTTTCCCTTGAACCATCTGGACTTGTTCCATAGAAAAAAATCATACTAGGATTTCATTCAGCATTGTATGATAGGCAGGGCAGGATTTGTCATCCGAGTGTCATAGATGAGGCCATACAAGTCCGGAGAGGGAAGGGACCAGCCCAGGGCCAGGCACACTGAGAAGATGGGCAGACAGAGGGTCTCACCCTTGTCTGCTGGGTCAGTGAAATCCAGTGGGTGCTAACCAAAGACCTGCTCTGTGCTGTCCAAACTTGTGTGGGTCTGGGTCCGTGTAGCTCCAGAGAGCCCTGGCTTAAAGACCTGTGGAGGAGAGGTTCCTCAGAGGGGGGAATCCTGAAAAGAGATCCTAGTGGATCTGTAGGGACTTTTATGACCATAACAGAGGTGGGATCAGGTGCCTCAGGAGGGGTCTGCCTGCTTCTGGGCCTACGTGCAGCAATAGGGCCATGGACCAGTTCTGCTACAGCACAGCCTCTCCTTGCCTGGACCTCTTGGCACTGACCCTCCCCTTTCACTCGTTAACCCACTCTCCTCTGTGGACAGACAAGGGGATGTGGCCCTGCCCCCCTACTACCAGCCGGAGGAGGATGATGAGATGCCCTTCATCTGCTCTCTGTCGGGGGACAATGGCATCATGGGCTGCCACGAGATCCCTCCACTGAAGGAGCAGGGTCGAGAGTGCTGCCTGTCCAAGGACGATGTCTATGACTTTGGGGCAGGGCGGCAAGACCTCAATGCCAGTGGCCTCTGTGTCAACTGGAACCGCTATTACAATGTGTGCCGCACGGGCAGTGCCAACCCGCACAAGGGCGCCATCAACTTTGACAACATTGGTTATGCCTGGATAGTTATCTTCCAGGTAAGCTCACTCAGGCCTGGAATTGGCCAACCCTTGGAGATGGGGGGGTGGCATGGTGGGCAAAGTCTTGAACAGGAGTTTGCCACTCATTCCCTGAGATCAGCCCAATTTGCTGGCACCATAGGCTTCATCCCACTCACTTTACAGAGGCAGCAAACCCAAGGGTCAAAGGAAGGAAACATGTCTGTTGGCCAGGAGTATGTGATGACTAAATGCTATACCAAGATTTCAGTACACTTTGTCTGACCCCAAAGCCTGTGCTCTTTGCAGACCCCTAGGTGGGCTGAGTTCTGGCAGGGAATTTTGTTCACAGAAGGCAGAGATAGGACATAGCTCTATTGGCTGAGCCAAGGCAAGCCTCCACCATGGAGAGGAAGACCGTTCCTAGAGAGGGTGACCACTGAGCCAGGCCTAGGTGCAAGGGCACCAAAGTGCTCATCCTGACTAGAGTCTATGGGAAAGGCTTTCACCCTGTGACCAGTTCACATGGACATGCCCACTGATATTGCTGGTGCAGAGCCTTGTGGCCCCCAAGCCTGCAGAAGACCAGGTGGGCTTGTTCAGGAAACTGGGGCTGTAGGAACTTGGGGGTATTGCTTGGCCTCTCTGGGCCTCAGATATGCCTTCTTTATCCTGGGTTGTATTACCAGTGTCTTTATCTCGGGTGTCTGAGAGTAAGCCAGATGATGTGAACTGGGTAGTCAGCCCCTGTGCAATTAGGCTCCACTGTTCTCAGAAGGAAGAAGAGAAACAAGAGAGGGCAGGCGGATGCCTGCTCTGGTCGGAGGGGCAGGATCAGAGACTCAGAGCTGTGGGACAACTGTGCTCATACCCAGCTACTGTGCTTTGGGGCACTCAGTGGTCCACAGGAAGGTGGAGGCTGTTTGAGGGCCTGTTCAACACTTTGCCACAAGCAAAGATGAGGGAGAGATAGGAAAGTCCTTGAATCTGGCTTGTCTTTCCCCAGGTGGTGCCTGGTCTCTCTGGACGGAGTTAGGTAGAGATAAGGAGGGGGGATGGTCAGCTGACCCTGCAGGCTCTGTCATCCACATACTGAAGAAGTTAGTGAGACAGAGCTGAGCCCTAGGCTCTTTGCTTCTCTAGTTTGCATCCCCAGCCTTGGAGCAAGAAAGTACCAGAGTCCCTGCTCCCCTCCTGCCTGACAGTATGTTGTTGGGCAAGGGCTGGAGCCTTGGGAAGGAGGACACTGCCTACCCTCACCCGCACTCATCCAGGCTTGTGTCTTGAGTTCTAGCTCATAGTAGGGCCTCTGTTTGGGGCTCTCTGGCTGTCTGCCAGCCCAGGGTTAGCGTCTCAGGTCTGCTTCTGTCCCTGTACCCGCTGCAGGTGATCACTCTCGAAGGCTGGGTGGAGATCATGTACTACGTGATGGATGCACACTCTTTCTACAACTTCATCTACTTCATCCTGCTCATCATAGTAAGTGTCAGGGCAAGCTCAGGGCCACGGACCCTGTCGCCAGGGGGAGGGAGGGAAAGGGCAAGGGCTTCTGCAGTCCCCAAGGGAGCCTTCAGCGCCACAAAAGCCTGGCAGATCAGGAGGCAGTAGAAAGGGTTATTTTTAAATGCAGTCAACTAGCAGGTGATTGACGGAACTCATCAGGGCTGTGGCTGGGAGCATCCATCTTTCCCCTTGACTTCATTTCTCATTGCTGGGCATTAACGTCTACCCCATTGCTCTTGCTTGCCTTTCGCTGCCAGTATCTCTAGGAATACATTATTTTCATGACTTTCATTTTCCTGGGGGAAGACAAGATGCTCTGACTATATGGGGCTGGTTCCTGGGTAAGACATGTAGTAGACATGGTGACAGCCTGGTGGAACTCTCTGGGAGTCTCAGAACTCCTGCCTCTCTGCAGCTCTGCCTTGTTGGGGTGACCAGGTGACAGAGACAAAGGTCTATCTGCCCTTGTAGGCTAAGCCCCAGTCTCCTACTTTATAGACGGGAAGCAGGGGGTCCAGAGGGGATGGGTCCTATCTGGGGGTCTGTTGAATGGGAGCCTTACAGGAGTGAGCTTACAGAGAGGGTCGGGTCTAAGCACTCTGGTTCCTGTGTCCCCCAACTAGCCTGGCAAAGGGCAGTTCTCTGGGAAATGCCTGTGACGAGATATCTTGACTGAGGCAGGGGACTGCGGGCATCTTTTCATCTAAGAAGCAGTTTGTTTCCCAGAGTCTTCTGGTCCAGGAAGCCATCCTCCACCTTCAGCTCCTTGGTCATGGTAATGGGGAGAGGAGAGGAGAAAAGCAGTGACTGGGGTTACCACCTACATGGTACCTGTTGGTGGTATGTAGGAGGCTAGAGGCCACATACCTCCTGTCTGGTCAGAGGAGCTCATTTACGGTTAGCAAGTGCCAGAAGAGGTGGCTGCCTGACCTAGGGCAGAAGGGCTCTTTTGCCTCAGCAGAAGCTGGGACCCGAAGGGGCTTCCTGTTCCCATTTCGCCCTATAAGCTCACATGACTAAAGTCCAGGCCCAAGAGTAGGACTCAGGGTCCTTTGTGACCTGAGGGTTCTGATCTCCCTCCCTGGCCTCAGTGCCAGGTCCACAGGCCTGATAGGGTCTTGGCTTGGAAGCAACCCTAGTTAGATTTGGGGGGTCACCTAGACTGTGTCTTCTCCTGCAAGGACTCAGTGATCTTTTCCTGTCCATATTTGTGTCTGTGTTTCTGTCTCTCTGGGTTCTTCCATCTTCCTCTGTACCTCTATCTGTTTCTACCCTCAACTCTACATTTCCCATACCCTCAATTCTGTTCACTCTTCTTTCTGTCTCTGTGTGTATCTGTCTGTCTGCCCCTCTTCCATCCTTACCCTTTTTCTTTGACTCTGCACCCCTGGCTGTCTCTTTCTTGCGGTCTTTCTGGCTGCTCTGTCTTCTTTCCTCTGTTCTGTCTCTGATCTGTCCCTGCCCTCCCTCTCTCCATTTCTGCCCGTCCCCTCCCTGGTCCCTTCCTCCCCTCCTGTTCTTGCTAACTCTTTCTCCATCTCCCTGTCTCTCTTCTCCTTGTGTCTTCTCGCTGGCTTTACCTCCATTTTTGCTTCTCTGTGGCCCTATTGTCCCCTCCATTCCTGTTCCTGTTTTCTCCTCCCGTTGGTCACAGGTGGGCTCCTTCTTCATGATCAACCTGTGCCTCGTTGTCATAGCGACCCAGTTCTCAGAGACCAAGCAGCGGGAGCACCGGCTGATGCTAGAGCAGCGCCAACGCTACCTGTCTTCCAGCACAGTGGCCAGTTACGCTGAGCCGGGTGACTGCTATGAAGAGATCTTCCAATACGTCTGCCACATCCTACGAAAGGCCAAGCGCCGTGCCCTAGGTCTTTACCAGGCTCTGCAGAGCCGGCGCCAGGCCACAGGCCCAGGGGCACAAGCCCCTGCTAAGCCTGGGCCCCACACCAAGGAGCCCAGCCACTGCAGTAAGTGGCCCTGCCTCTGTGGCCCATGTGCCACTGCCTGGGGTCTCAGAATGGCAGTGTTGCAAGTAGGTTATACCTGCTGGGCAGTAGAGGTGTCCATCAGACTCAGGTCCCAAGTGTTCTTTTCAAGTTCTCATGTCCCCTTTATGACCAGCACTCTCCAGGTCTCATCCACCCTGCCCTCTCCCTATCCCCTGTTCAGTTTGCGTGGGCTAGCCCTCTCCCTAGGGGAATTCCCTTCCCATCTGTGTAGGCAGACAGGTACCACCCCCTTGAACCCACACTTGAAAGTCAAGTGCACTTGAATGACCTATCAGTCTTCCAAGTCTAGCCTCCCTCTTCACAGCCACCATGTCACCCCTGACTCAGGCTCCTGTGGCTGTCCCTTGCTTACCAGAGCAATGACACCAGGCTCCTGGCATAGAGGGTAGTGCATGCCATGGCACAGCTGTCTCTGTGAGTTTGGTGTACAGCTTGGGAAGGATTCTCTCTGGGCTCTGAATGAGCTCAGTTGGCAGAGTGCTTGCCTAGCATACATGAAGCCCTGGGTTTGATCCCCAGCACTACATAAACCTGGCATGGTGGTTCACGTCTGTAACCTTAGCACTCAGGAGGTGGAAGAAGGAGGATCAGAAGTTGAAGGTCATTTTCCACTACACAGCAAGTTCAAGACCAGCTTGGGCTACATGAGACTCTATTGGTGGCAGTGGTGGTGGGGAGCTCATTCCTTAGCTCATTTCTTCCAAGAAGAAGTCCTGAGAAGGCAGCAGACTGGTAATAGTATCTTCAGTTTTCAGATGGGTAAACCAGGGTCCAAGGAGATGAGAGAGTCACTTAAGATGGCCCAGTGTATCAGTGATAAGACTTAGTGATGTGAGTGTCAGAGGTGCGAGACTTTGTGGTCTGTCGCCATCACAAATGCACTGACCCTTGAGAGGAGTCCACCCAGGCTACCAGGGGGCCCCTGGTTCAGAAACTAGCGGGCCTTAGGGCTGTTCCATGGAGCATGGCATGTGCTGTTCCCTGTGTGACCCTGAAGTCCGTAGGGCCTCTCTCATCCCCACTTGCTGAATGTGCTTCAAGGGACCCACCAACATGTGGCTGTGGATGACAGCAGTCACTGTCTCTGGCCCTGGCTGTCGAGCCCCAAGCTCCCAGTGCTTTCATCCATTTAATCTGAGAAGCCAGCAGGAAAATTCCCCCTCAGGACTGCTGCCCACCATCCTCAGACACCAGCTATTTAGGCACGGTTGTGGAGGAAGTTCCAGGTGGCCAGTGGGCTAGCCTAGCACATGGAGAAGAGAACTGGGGTCTAGGCAAGGCTAGCCCTTTCCTTCTTGGGGTATATGGTGATGGTTGGTGTGAATTAAGAAACCCTTAATTGGAAGGGTTTCTTGCTGCTGCCCGCCACCCTCACCCTGGAATTCTGTAGGGGGAAGTCTTAGGGAGCTCCCACCTACCCCCACCTCCCAGGTGTCCATGTATCCTTCCTTCCTTGTGTCCAGCAGTGAGGTGGGCTACGAAGGGCTATGATCTGCCCTCTATGGGCTGGTATAGGATGACCCAAGCTTTTAGTTGTCTACCCTGGCTCCAAACAGAGGCATCAATGAGCTGAGGGCTTTGTGCAGGGCTTGGCAGTATGTGGAGATAGATGCTTTCGTTTCCCTTTAATGTACCTTTTTTTTTTTTTGCTTACTCAAGCAAAATATGTTTATGCTAAGATAATATAGAAAAGCATAAAGAAGCCCAACCAGCTAGAGAGAGGCCTCCCTGACACATCTCTGAATCCAATGCCAGCCCAGGGGTTGAACTCCCAGCCCTAGTCAGCGGCCCCCACTTCCCTCCAGCCTGACTCTCACTGGTACGGAAGGAAGTCCAGAGCAAGGGCCTGCCACTATCTGGGGCTATGCCTTCTCCCTGGGAACCAAACCTCCACACTGGTGGACAAGCCGAGGAAGCGAGGCCACTGTGGCTTCTCCTGAGGAGTGTCCACTTTCCACACAGACCTTTACATTTAATCAATGACATTTAGTTCCTAGACCCTCAGAACTGCGTTTGGGAAAGTTTATTGACTTAGGGCCAAGTTCAGAAGTGACCAACAATTGGCATACATAGAAGTGCCAGGCACTGTGCTGAGCCCATCACTTGTACCAATGAAGATAATCCTCCTGTAGTTTGTCAGGTAGATGTGCCTGTCCCTGCTTCTGCACAGGAACAGACACAGCCCAGAGATGGGAGGTCGTGTCCCCAGGAAGCTCCAGGCTCCCCCAGGTAGGATCAGCTTCTTCTAGGCAGACTCTGTGTCCTTGGAGGAGGTTGGGGCCTGGCATGGACACTGACACTGCCCTCTGTTTGTTTGTTTTTCAGAGTTGTGCCCACGACACAGTCCCCTGGACCCCACACCCCACACACGGGTACAGCCTATCTCTGCTATGTTGGCTTCTGACCCTGCCAGCTGCCCACAGTGCCAGCACAAGGCAGGCAGACGACCCTCGGGCCTGGGCAGCACCGACTCTGGCCAGGAGGGCTCAGGCTCTGGTGGCTCGGGAGAGGCTGAGGCCGATGGGGATGGACCCCGAAGCAGTGAGGATGGGGCTTCCTCAGGCCTGGGGAAGGAGGATGAGGAGGAGCAGGCCGATGGGACAGCCCGCCTGTGTGGGGATGTATGGAGAGAGACACGAGCCAAGCTACGGGGCATTGTGGACAGCAAGTATTTCAACAGGGGAATCATGATGGCCATCCTGGTCAACACTGTCAGCATGGGTATCGAACACCATGAACAGGCCAGTTTTGGTTTGGGGCTTGGGCCAGGCGGGTGTGGAGAAGCAGTCCAGTGCAGGGTGCTGGGCTCAGGATGGGTGGTGTGGAGGGGGACATCCAGGACAGGCTGAGACCATCCCCACATCTGTCTCCCTGCCCCTGACTGGAGTGGGGGTCTGATCCATTCGTGTGGCTTCAGGGCCTGGTCCAGGGCCATATTCAAGGTGCAGCTACTTTGGGTGTCTGCAGAATGAATGGCTGAGTGGATGAGTGAGACTTGACAGCACAGGACTTGGCAAAGTCTTTGGCTACCCCTGGGGCGATAGCCTGGGAGCTGAGTCCTGGCTCCATTTCCTAGTTCCTGGTGTCCATCTGTCTTTCGGGGGTCGGGACTGGCTTCCTTAGCCTGCTCCTCAGCCTAGTGAGCATGCTGGGCTCAAAAAAGGGCCACTGACCCAGGGTCCCACAGCTAGCCAGCAGCTGGATTTGAATCCTCCTCCTGCGGCAAGACTGACATTCCAGCAGGGTTTAGATTATGTGTCCCCTCGCTGTCGTCCTCGTTCTACGAGACCTTCCCATGTGCCTGGAGGGGGGCACGGTCTTCATTTCTCTGCTCATTAGCTTGCTAAGCACAGGCTTCATTCAATTTAGCTAAATGTGGCCCCTGGGGCTGCCACCAACACTCGGTTGGTACTGCTGGTTTGTCAGCCATTCTGACTTAATTAAAAAGATCTCTGGGGAGGCCTGATGGGTGGGATCTCTCTGTAGGGTAAAGCTGGTAGGAGGAGCAGCCCAGACCCCCTTGCCTTGAGGTCCTGGCCTGCCAGGTTACGGAGGGTCAGCATGCCTAGGGAAGGCCCTGTGGGAACAGCTGCTATCCAGTGGCCTCTGGTGTCTAAACCTTGCTGTGCAGGGGCTGGGGACTGTTGCTAGCTTGCTGAAACCAGGTGGTAAGAGCCGATAGTGTCATGCTTGGGAATTTTGAAGTTGTTAAACAGTCAGTTGTTTGAAATTGGCCACGGTGAAAGTATTTACACCATGGAAATTGGCAGATGCTACAAATCAGGAAGGTTTCTCACAGGGGAGTTTGCCTGAACCCTGCTGGTCCCTGTTTCCCATCCAAATACTAACCAGGCCAGACCCTGCTTAGCTTCTGAGATCAGATGAGATTGGGTGCGTTCAGGGTGGTATGGCCATAGACTGCTGATCCCTGTCTTCTCACACCCACTCTGAGACACCACAGCCAGGGCAACTCTTCTCTGCCTTCCAGCTTGACTTCAGGTCTCTGCCTGAGACTGCTCAGGCTCTTCTCTGGCTTATTCTGGCCTATTCCTCTTGATCCTGCCACATCCGACTTGAGCAAGCTTTCTTTTGTTTTTTTATTTAAATTTTTTTTGAACATTTATTTGTTGTATGTGTACATATGTGGAAGTCAGAGGACAACTTGCAGAAGTTGGTGTTTTCCACCATGTACGTACTGGGTATCAAACACTCAGGTCATTAGGCTTGGCAGCAAGCACCTCCACCCACTGAACCATCTTGCCAGGCCCCTTGAACAAGCTTTCTAACCCAGAACCTGCTGAAGCCTTTTCCACTGGGACAGTAGAAGTCACCTGGTGCTGAAGTTGTCTCCCAATTGGAGTATCTCTGTACCTGGTTGGATGAGGCCCCTGTCAATTGTAGGGTCTACCCTGATCCCTTGACCTGCTGCCTTGACTGAGTGCTGTCTCCTTCTTAGGGTTACCTCTTCCTGGGCACCTACTAAGCACCGGGCCTAGAGAGAGTCTTGTGCCTCTGAGCCCTAACAAAAGTCTTCTAAACAGGTGCCATTGCTTCCCGTTCTCACATTTTGAAGGCCACTGGTTAGAGGCCACACTTCTCACTCTGGTTCTGCTGTTGATGGGCTGGGTGACTCTTGATGAGTCACTGTGCCAACCTAGCTGGTATCTCTATCTGCAGATGACCCAGTGGACCTCCCACACAATCCCCACCCCAAGGTGGCTGGGAGGGGCGGATGTGTGGATTCTGGTGCCTAGTAGGTGCACAGGACTCCATCATTATTAGCAGGTCTTTTGTTTGAGCCTTCTGCCACTAGCCTGGGTGAGTTTACCATCTACTGTCTGGAGCCTCAAAAATTAATTAAAGAAGAAGTGAGGAGGAGGAAGCGTTTTTAAACTGTTCTTTTTAAAGCTGCTCCGAGTGGCAGCCATTGTTCAGCTGAGCTCTGTGCAGGGCCTGCTGGTATTTTTGCTCTTCCCCCTGGGCTCTCAGACATCTCTCTGTGGGAACCGATCCGCCCCCAGGTCTATTTTGAGCAGCCCCCACTGAGGTGGCACCCAGGCTAGAGATGGCCCAGGGCCGCAGATGGTACACAGGGAGAAAGGGGAGAGTGCCACAGGTTCTTCTGCTTCTGCTGGCCCTGCACCCCGTCCAGGCCCACTGGATGCTCTGTGCACCGCTGCAGGGCACAGGTGGCAAGGTCCTGGCTTGTCACCCCAGCCTCCCTGGTTATAGGGAGCTCAGTACAGATGTTCATGGTCTTTACCAAGGCTACTGCTGCTGAAATAATGAAGGGCCGTCACCAAGAACAGCTTACTTGTCCAGGGGACTGGCCCAGGAGGAGATGACAGTTGAAGGGATGTTAACCAGGCAAGGATCTGCATGTGTCTCCTGAAGATAGAAATGACGTTCAAGTCTCCCCCAGCCCCTTGCCAAGGCAGGGGTGTGTCTTAATACTAGGGCACTTGCCTAGAATGTTCAGGGCCCTGAGTTAAATTCCCAGCATTGGTAAAGACAAATTCCCAGGAAGCTTATCATGTTATACCCCCCTGGATAGTCTCTGGCTGCACTGTGTGACCAGAGGAGGTCAGGTCAACTTGGCTGCCAGGCTCACAGAAGCCTTGAGGGTAAGCAGGGTGGGTGTTTCATCCACACTGAGCAGATAGAGGCAGATGGAGAAACTGAGGCTCAGCAAGGTGACATGGCTGCTCAGGTGCCCTGGCAGAGTTAGCTCCAAGATGCAGAGGGCAGCTATGGATGATCACAACAGAGGTAGGATACGGGTCAGGAAAATACTGTTCACAGAGCATCTCTGCCTCAGTCTCTCCTCTCTTGGCACACCCCTGATGAGACCCATGACTCCTCTCAAACTGAACCCTGCAAATTCACCTCGTCTCAGAGCTGGACCAAGTGGAGCACGAAAAGCAGAGGCTTGGATGGAAGGGGTAACAGGCAGGGAGCCTCCCCGGGTTAAAGCCGATTCAACCTAGGGTATATGACCATTGGTCCTAGCTCCCAGGGGACTGCATCCAAGGTCTCCCCAATCTGTGGATGGGTCAAGGCCCACTTTACTTTCCCTTCTGCAGCTCCTGTCAAATCACTTCCAACCCAGGTCTAGGGTAGCTCTGGGAAGAAGAACATGGGGTAGGTTAGTGGCTGACATTCCAACTCTGGGAGGGCCCAGGGTAGAGAGGTACCAACATGGGTGATAGGCAGGGAGGGCTTCCTGGAGATGATGGCACTGTGGATAAGGATAACCATGAGTTCATCAATGAGAGGCAGAGTTACAGAGACCAGGGGAAGAGCCAAAGTCCTCAAGAAGGATGTATGACAAGGGTAGGGTGGACAGCCCAGGGGGCAGGACAGTTGCTTATCTACTAAGGGCCTCAAGGTCAGTTTTATCCTTAGGGCAATGGTGGGCACAGAAGGCTTGTAAACAGAGGAGAGGAGTGATATGTATTCTTTCAAATTGTGAGCAGGTAATGGTACCTGGTTCACAGGAGGTGGAGCCTGAGGAGGAAGACATGGTTCTAGAGCTTCTCCATCTTGGCCTGGCCATGACCCTGGGCAGTCACTTCTCCTCTCTGAGCCATCGGTTTCCCAGCTGTAAAATCAGTGTAGGGTTGACTGAAGTTTGAACTGGTAAAGCAAGGAAAGCACTTCCTCTGGCCCCTGGGAAGAACTTAGCAACAGGAGCTGCCACAGTCACCATGAGGCTAGGCTGGGGTTCAGGGGCACCTGGACCAAGACCCTCTGCACGTCCCTTTCATCCACCCCTGCAGAGTTGGCTAGAGGGTGGGCATCCTGGAGCCACCAAGCCTAGCATCAGGCAGGGATGATCCCATCCCCCTTTGCCTTCTGCATTACCTTAGCATTTTCTGACGTGTCCTCATTACCTGCTCTTTCACTGGGCAGGTGTTGGCCATCTCCAGCAGCTCCCCTGCTGTCCATTTATCCTTTTTCTGTGTCTCTTACTTTCTGGAGTGTCTCTGACTGCATGTTATTGTGTCGTCGTCTCAGGTCTTTAAAAAAAAAAAAAAGATTCTTTTTGAGTCAGGGTCTTATGTAGCCCAGGCTGGCCTTGAATTCACTGTATAGCCAAGGATGACCTTGAACTTTGGATCATCCTTTCTCCAATCTCCAGAGTGCCAGGATTATAGGTGTGAACCACCATACCACACCTGGTTAATGTGCTGGGGCTCGAACCCAGGGTATTGTGCATGCTAGGCAAACGCTCTACCAATTGAGCTATATCTCTAGTCTGTAAGGTCATTCTTTATCTCTCTGTATCATGGCTTCTGCCTCTGCCTTTTGCTCCCCATGTCCTTATCTCTCTGTCCACCCATCCTGCTCCCACATCTCCGCTCCTTTGTGCATCTCTGCCCCGTCCCTTCCATCCTCCGCTTGGCCTCCCACTTGTCGTGTCTATATTCATCTGTCTGCCTCTCTCCAGCCTGTCTCTCTCCCAGAAAAATGCTCTTGGGAATGATGGATGGTCCATTGGAGAAAGATTAACAGGTGTGCGTTGCCTGGAAAAACAGCTGTTGCGGGGGAGGAGGGAAGCAAGCTAGTGACCTTTCTAGAGAGCAGTGGATCCAGCACGGATGCAGGGAACGTGTGCACAGCTTGTGCAGCCAAGAGCTGGTGGATGGTCATCATGGACTGTCAGTGGCTACCCTTCTCATCTCTGCAGACGTGGTTTGGGTGGGCTGATCAGCATCTGAGTCCCGTCTGCTGATGCCCCTCTCAGGGTCCCGCTCTCCTTGTGGGAGCATTTTGTGAGTCAAATGTAATTACAGATGGAAATGGGCCCTTCGCCTTTTATCTGGGCTTGAGAGGAACTGGCAGTTTTATTAGATTTCCCAGGCACTAGGCGGGAAGCTGGTGGCTGGGTAATTTTTTTTTCTTCTTCTTTTAAGCCACATGGAATCAAAGTCAGATCCCTGGGGTTCATTGTTGCTCAGTGGAAGGGCTGGGCTGGGAGTTAGGATGCTGACAGGTGAGAGCTGGCCTGCCGCTCTGTCACTCTGCTCCCTCCCAACCCCTGCTCTGGCTAGGAGCTTGGCCACGCTCCCATCTCCAGCTGTCGTCTTTAGGTTTCTGCTGAGACATTGCTTTCTTCAGGAATCCGCCCAGCTCCCTGACACTGTTCCCCTAACCACTCTCAGCTTCTCTGGTGTTCTTGGGTGCTGGCTTGCTTTGTTTTAGGGTGATTTGTGGGGCTCTGCCACTGATCGTTGGCACTCCCCTTGCAGGAGCACAGGCTCAGCACATGGCAGCATGTCGCTGTATCAGGAGACCTATGGGATGTATTCAGGAGTGAAAGAATGAGTGAGTGAAGGGGCGGGCTCAGGCCTCAGTTTCCTCACCTATCAAATGGAAAAGGCAGTGGTAGCCTAGCAGGCTGTGAGGTTCGGCAATGGGGTGCACGGTGAGGGTGCAACAAGTGGCCTTTCCTTTTCCAGGATTCAGTGGGGCCACCAGTGGCTCCCTGAGCCCAACCCAGAGGGCTGTGGAGGAGAGAGCAGGAACCAGAGCCTCCTTGTATTCCTCTGAACCAATGGTTTGGAGTGCATGAAAGCCAGCACTTCACACTCTGCTTATAGATAAGGGAAGGGAGGCTCAGAGGCAGGGGGCCAGGTCTGTTCAAAAACAAGGTCCTCAAAGATTCTATTTGTAGGTTGCTGCCTGTTGCTAAAATCCCTGAGGGAACAGCAGAGGGAGGTTTGTGACTGGAGAATGGGGGCTGGTGTCACCAGCTGGCAGTTCCCTTGACCTCATTGGTGGCATCCTGTATATAAGGCTGTGCCTGGCATGCAGCAGGTGCCCTGTCTCTGCCCTCTCTTCTCTGGCAGTGTATGAGAAACTGAACTGTTACATGGGCAGTAAAATGCCAGTACCACTTCTGGACTATCCCTCCCCCATCTAGAGGGCCTCTCAGGATCTGAGGGTGACACAGTTGAGAGGTTTCCAGACTGTAGTGCAGGGTGGGTGGTTGAGCTCTACCAAGGACAGGAACCCACCAGGGTCACAGGCCCCCCTCCTCTGCCAACATCCCACAGCCCGAGGAGCTGACCAACATCCTGGAGATCTGTAACGTGGTCTTCACCAGCATGTTTGCCCTGGAGATGATCCTGAAGCTGGCTGCCTTCGGGCTCTTCGACTACCTGCGAAATCCCTATAACATCTTCGACAGCATCATCGTCATCATCAGGTACACTGAGGCCCTGCAGCTGAGGAGTACAGGGAGGGAGAGCCCTAACCCCTGCCATCACATAAAGCTCCTGAATAATAAATAATGAAGGAAACCATCACACTGACATAGGTTATTCAAATATTGAAAAAACAGATGATTTAGCAATGAATGCCTCTGGATGAATGTGTTAAAGAGCAAGAGGTAGCAGCCAGTTGGGGCCACTGTCATTCCAAAGAGGGGACGTGGGGAAGCAGCTGCAGCAGTCATTATGCAACCTGAAGATATCAGCTGTTTTGATTACCCATGAAGTCATGGGTACTGTGGATTCTCTGGTTTGCTGTTTACCTTTTTAATCAAAAGAAGCTTGCAACCTCAAAAACAGGACAGTGACAATCATGGACTTGGTAGCCTTGACCAAAGCTGGTTGTTGTTTTATCTTCCTCCTCCACTCTTTCTCCTCCTTCCCCCCGCCTCCTCTTCCCCTTCCTCCTTCTCCTCCTCTTCCTCCTCCTCTTCTTTTTAGGGTGTGTTGTGTTGTGTGTGTGTGTGTGTGTGTGTGTGTGTGTGTGTGTGCCCGCGCATGCATTCGCAGATGTGTGAAGGCCAGAAGACAACTTTTAGGAATCACTTTTCTCCTTCCACCATGTGGGGCCCAAGGATCAAACTCAGGTCATCAGGTTTGATGGCAATCACCTTTACCTCCTGAGCCATCTTGCCAGCCCTAGCTTCAGCCTTCTTAATGTGTGGCCCATGGGCTCCTAGCTAAGAAGCCCTGATTTAGGAGGTGCTGTGGAGTAGCTGTCAACGTTAATGTTAGATGACTGGATACAGATGACTGATGCTTCTCCATCCTCCCTGTCCTTGCTTCCTCTTCTGTCTTCCTGTCACCTTGGCCTCCCACTAACCCTTCCTGCCTCTCCCACACTGGCTGCAGCATCTGGGAGATTGTGGGGCAGGCGGATGGCGGCCTGTCGGTGCTGCGCACCTTTCGGTTGTTGAGGGTGCTGAAGCTGGTGCGCTTCATGCCGGCGCTACGGCGCCAGCTCGTGGTGCTCATGAAGACCATGGACAACGTGGCCACCTTCTGCATGCTGCTCATGCTCTTCATCTTCATCTTCAGGTGAGCCCCGCCCACCTGGAACTGAAGCTTCAAGCTGTGGGTAGGAGCTGGGGACATTGTGGCTGGTGGAAGATCCTTGGAGCAAAGCTCCCAGGATCTGGGTATGAATCCCGGTGCTATCATTCAACCCTAATGGCTCCAGGCAGATCTTTCCTCTGAGCCTTGATGGTCCCCTCTGTAACATGGACCTGAGGCTGCCCTCTATCTTGGTACTGGGTGGTCTTGGGAGTAGCAGAAAGCACCGTGTGCTGAGTCCCTTGAGCCACCTCCATTTCCCCCGTCCCGCCCCCCAGCATCCTCGGGATGCATATCTTCGGCTGCAAATTCAGCCTCCGGACGGACACTGGAGACACAGTCCCAGACAGGAAGAACTTCGACTCCTTGCTATGGGCCATTGTTACTGTGTTCCAGGTGAGTGACAGCCATGAGTTTCAGGGGAAATCATCTGGACAGCAGGTCTGTGAGGGGCTGAGGCTGGTCTTGGGAGGACCCTAGGGCTGACTTGGATTGCTCTCAACAGATTCTCACTCAGGAAGACTGGAATGTTGTCCTCTACAATGGCATGGCCTCCACTTCCCCCTGGGCCTCCCTCTACTTTGTTGCTCTCATGACCTTTGGCAACTATGTTCTCTTCAACTTGCTGGTAGCCATTTTGGTGGAGGGCTTCCAGGCAGAGGTGACTATAGCCCTGGGGAGGTCACTGGGCAGGGGAGAGGGAGCCTGGATGGGGGAAGAGTACTGGTCAAAATTTTAGCTATACTAAATTTTTAACATTTCCCCAAAGGAGAGTTGCCACTGAGTGGTGCGCTTCCCATCTCTGGAAGCAGGCAAATAAAGGCTGCATCCTGAACCTCTGTCTCTCCCCTAGATCTGATGGACATGGCCTCTCCATCTCAGTTTCTAAAGCCCCCAAGGTTCCAGACCTTGCTTCCTCCATCTGTAAAATGGGAGTGGAAACACCCATTGAAAGCCTTCAAGGGTGGGGAAGGAAAGGGCTAGCTGACCTGTGTTCCAATGTGAGTTCATCTCCCAGGGTGATGCTAATCGCTCCTACTCCGACGAAGACCAGAGTTCATCCAACATGGAGGAATTTGACAAGCTCCCGGAGGGTCTGGACAGCAGTGGAGGTAAACAGGCTGAAAATGACAATTGTCTGCTTTTTATCATCATAACTGAAAGAGATGCTTGGTCTCAGAAACTGTAAGACATTTGTAGATTCCTCTTGAAAGCCCACCTGCTTCCTTCCCTCAGTGGGGCCTCTTGGCTATTGCCACAGGGCCTCAGGATGTGGCCTGGGTTCTGGTCCTCTCTGGTACCACTAGGTAGCTGGGGACAAGCCTTTTTCAACCAAGTCCAGTGTCCTTGATAACTCAGGAGGATAGTTCCTGTGATGATGGGAATGAGGTGTCCCTCGTGGGTCGAGCTCTGGGCAGGCCCAAGAACAGAAGGCAAGGGTTCATGAACAGGTAAAGAGCCCCACAGGCAAGGCGGAGGGAGGCACATGAGATGGAGGGCAATCCGGCAGACTTCCTGGTAGAGGATGTCTCCCCAGAAAAGCTCTCCATCTCTATTACATCTGTCTTACGGCATCCTCTGCTCTTCCCTTTGTCCGTTCTGTCTTCATCTTACATCTCTAGATCCCAAGCTCTGCCCAATCCCCATGACCCCCAATGGACACTTGGACCCCAGCCTCCCACTGGGTGGACATCTGGGTCCTGCTAGTGCCGTGGGCACTGCCCCCCGCCTCTCACTGCAGCCAGATCAGGTGCTGGTGGCCCTGGACTCTCGCAAGAGCAGTGTCATGTCACTGGGCAGGATGAGTTATGATCAGCGTTCCCTGGTGAGTCCTGTGGGGTGCTAGGATGGATGCTCTCTGCTGAAGGTAGGGGCTGTTGAGGGACCCTGGAGCAAGGCACAGAACCTGCTACTTCATCTCTAGACTCTGGTACCCATGCTAGGTTACCACACTGCCTGGCCCCAACTAGACAGGAGCAGTGTTTGTGGTTTCTGGATGCCCAGTGCCAGAGCAGGCCTTGGCAGCAGGAATGAAAATGGGGTCTGGTGTTTCTCCACTCCTGCTCTTTCTTTCTGGTGCTGGGGATTGAACCCAGGGCCTTCTGCATGCTGGACAAGCACTCTAACACTGAAGTACAATCCTCAGCCCTGGGACCTGGTGGAGCGACCTGAGTTTTCATCTTGGTAGAGATGTGTGGGGTGGGGCAGCCAGCCTACAACTTGAATCTGGCCTCTGCCACCTAACTTACTAACAGACCCTAACTTGCTACTCACCTTCCTCAAGAGAAGAAGGGGGTGGAACTCCCCCGGTCATCCACTGGCTAGGGCGGGCAGGAGGCACCAGGCCTCGATACCCCACCAGGTCTGCCTGTGGGTGCTGACCCAAGTCTGGGCTTCTCTGCAGTCCAGCTCCAGGAGCTCCTACTATGGGCCGTGGGGCCGCAGTGGGGCCTGGGCCAGCCGCCGCTCCAGCTGGAACAGCCTGAAGCACAAGCCTCCCTCTGCAGAGCACGAGTCCCTGCTCTCCGGGGAGCGCGGTGGCAGCGGCGGCAGGGCCTGCGAGGGCACCTGGGACGAGGGCCCGCCACGTGCCGCGCCCCTGCACGCCCCGCACGCCCACCACGCGCACCATGGACCCCATATGGCGCATCGTCACCGCCACCACCGCCGGACTCTGTCCCTGGACACCAGGGACTCGGTGGACCTTGCGGAGTTGGTGCCAGTGATGGGCGCCCACTCTCGGGCCAGCTGGAAGGCGGCGGGTCCGGCTCCTGGCCACGAGGACTGCAATGGCAGGATGCCCAACATCGCCAAGGACGTCTTCACCAAGATGGATGACCGCCGGGACCGCGGGGAGGACGAAGAGGAGATCGATTACGTGAGTCAGGGGTGCCTGGAAAAGCAAGCAGTGGGGGCGTGGCCACGGGCGTGGCCGAATCTGTGTGGGGCGGGAGGGCGGGGCCGGAACTGCCCACATCGCCCCGCCCCTGGGAAAGAAGCTCCTTGCCCTCTTCCCCCCTGCTTCCTGCCTTGGGTGGGGGAGAGTTCAGAGGTCACCCAGTGCCCCCAGTTTGCTGGATGGCCGAATGGGTGAAGATGGGCCCCTCTGCGCGATGCCCGCCTTCCCATCCACTTCCTTCCCTTTGCCAGACTCTGTGTTTCCGAGTCCGCAAGATGATCGATGTCTACAAACCTGACTGGTGTGAGGTCCGTGAGGACTGGTCGGTCTACCTCTTCTCGCCTGAGAACAAGTGAGCAGTAGTGGCTGGTGGTGAAGACTAGGGTACCCTGGTGACATGTCTGGAAGGGAGAGCTCTCCTACAAGCCAGGGCAGGGCCATCAGCAGTACATTCCCGTATGCCAGAGAGAGAAGGATCTGTAAGGGAGGGAAATTCCAGGTCCACATATTCTCCCTGCCCCCAGGGTTTTCCTGGGCGAGTTTAGGTCAGCCTTATGCTGGGTATGAGGCAGATCCACATGCATCCTGGATGCTGAAAGAGGGAGGGGGACACCAGAAGGCTTCCTGAAGGAGGAGACCTTTGTGTTGAGTGTTGGAGGCAGATGATTGACTTTAATTTGTAGGTGTATGGTCAGGGAAGGATGCTCCAGCTGGAGACCCTGAGCAGATGTGAAGTTGACATCTGTTTTATGGCTATAGGAGGAGACAGGAATCTTTCTCTAGGCTATTTTGGTGTGTGTGTGTGTGTGTGTGTGTGTGTGTGTGTGTGTATGTGTGTATGTCTGCATCCTCTGTCTTCCTTCTCATCAGAAAGGGAGGCAAAACTGATACCCTTGGGGGTGTCCTGGCCCCTGCTTAGGTTCCGGATCCTGTGTCAGACCATCATTGCTCACAAGCTTTTTGACTACGTGGTCCTGGCCTTCATCTTCCTCAACTGTATCACCATCGCCCTGGAGCGGCCGCAGATTGAAGCCGGCAGCACTGTGAGTGGCTGCAGCCCTCCTTGGGGGGGGGCAGGAGGGCCAGGAGGAGGGCCAGAGCACCAGGGACAGCCATGGACAGTGTGCAGGACCCAATGAGAGCTCAGCCAAGCCAGATACCCAGCAGGCAGAGAGAGGCAGGGATCTTGCCCGTGGGAGGGGAAGGCTATCTAGATCAGAGAAATAGTGGCTTTTCGTGGCTGCCTGGTTGACTCAAAGGCTGACTAGGCATCTGGGTAGTTGTGAGAGCCCTTGGACCCATGGTCTCTCCTCTTTTAGGAACGCATCTTCCTCACGGTGTCCAACTACATCTTCACAGCCATCTTCGTGGGCGAGATGACACTTAAGGTTGTTTCTGGCTTCATCAGGATCCTTCTCACCTTGACCTGGGGTCCCTGGCCCAGGCCCCACCTTCCCTCCATTTGTCACTAGCCTAGTTCTCAGCAATATGCAATAGGTCCCAGAGGTTCACCCCTGCTGGGCACCAGGCCCTGGATTAGGTCCTAGGACCAGAAGGGATCGGTGGTTTCCCCTACTCCAGTAGTCAAACCCAGTCAGAAAGGTGAATTCAGGGAGAAACTTTCCTTCTCAGTGTGAGTGGCTTTAGATTGGGGTCCCAGACATGCTGCCTATCACCTCCCTTACCTGCTTGGCCCCACCCCCAGGAGGCTGACCTGACCACACCCCTCCCTGGCAGAGTTCTGCCCCCACACCCCCATCCCTAGACCTGACTCCGGCCCCACCCTCAGGTGGTCTCTCTGGGCCTGTACTTTGGCGAGCAGGCATACTTGCGCAGCAGCTGGAATGTACTGGATGGCTTCCTAGTCTTTGTGTCCATCATCGACATTGTGGTATCTGTGGCCTCCGCTGGGGGAGCCAAGATTCTGGGGGTCCTCCGGGTCCTGCGGCTTTTGCGCACCTTACGCCCTCTGAGGTAAGGACTCTTCCCCCAAACATGACCCTCGCTCTGGCTTTGACACCTCATTCAGTCTTCCAATAGCACTGTGCTAAGTACGAGGTGGGCCCTATTGATGGGGGAGGAGCCTGAGAGCCTGGGGTTGAGGGGTATAACAGAGCAGGACTAAGATGCCCTCTTCACTGTTGTCCTCTGTATCTCTGGTTGCCCCCTCTGTGTCCCTGGCTCTTGGCCAACACCCCATGGGGACTGGGTGAGGGGGTCAAGCACCCTTCTGGGTATTGATCTAGGCCGAGGTTGCAGCTCACCCTGTCTTAGGTTACCTGGCTACTTTCTCTTCATTCCTTGCTGGGTCCTCACCCCCAGGAGACCTGCTGACTGTGGGCTGAGTTGGGGCTGCCACTGATGGCTGTGGCTCACAGTGTCCTGGCCCTCCTTGCCTACCTACAGGGTCATCAGCCGGGCCCCTGGCTTAAAGCTGGTGGTGGAAACCCTCATCTCTTCCCTCAAGCCCATCGGCAACATTGTACTCATCTGTTGTGCCTTCTTCATCATCTTCGGCATCCTGGGGGTGCAGGTGAGGCGTTTTCACTGTGCAGAGTGACACTAAGTCCGACATAGTCAGGGTGGGTTCTGCACATTCCTACTCCCCCCTCCCCGCCTTCTATGTTGGCTGACCTGGGGACTCAGGGCTTGGTGGGACCAATCAAGGGAGGCAGACCCAAGTCCAGATGACTGAGTAGGGGGCAGGCTGGGTGGGTCAGTTCAATTGGAGGATATTTCTGGCTTTGGATTGTGCTCTATCCCCAATCCTAGGAGCACAGACCTTGACTTCTTTTCTCACAGCTCTTTAAAGGGAAATTCTACCATTGCCTGGGTGTGGACACTCGCAACATTACCAACCGATCTGACTGTGTGGCTGCCAACTACCGCTGGGTCCATCACAAATACAACTTCGACAACCTGGGTCAGGTGAGCAATGCTCACCTACCTGTTACCTGACTTGTCCTTTGGGAGAGGGGTGACAGGTCTTCGATGGTGGCCCTAGGGTCACAGGCCTGGCTCTAGTCCTGCACTGTCAGGACCAACCTTGTCACTTTTTTCTGAGCCTCAGTTTCCCAGCCTGCCAAGTGGGTAGGGTTGGCACTCTGCTCACAGGAGGTATAGACCTGAGACCGCAGGTGCAGAGCTTATCAGCATGTAGAACTTAAAAGGTACTTCCCTGAATGTTAATCCTGGCTTTGACCTCCCACCCAAGGGAATGTAGTGGAGTTTTAGAACCAGCCACACCTGGTATGCATCCTAGCCTTGCAATTTTCTGTAGGGGTGTCCTCTTTGAGACTCCATTTCCTCCTCTGTCAAATGGAAATGTTACAGCCTAGCAGGCTAGATGAGAATGAGCATTGTGTCAGGCTTCTTGGCCTGGGTAGGTTGCGTTCCCTCACTCTAGTCAACACACAGCTTCCCACTTTGCCTTTGATCCCCCTCTCTTGGGGGCCTGATACATTTGGAGGGCTCCAGGCGAGAGCCCCAGGCTAGCTGCCTCCAAAGAGTCTCCCCATCTCCAGAATTGTTCCCATTTCATGATCCAGGTAGGTATGTGCAGACAGAGGACTGCCCTGTGTCAGGGCTTGCAGGAAGAGGCAGGATCTAGGCTGTTGCCTTCTGCTGGTGGCCTCTCTGATGCTCACTCACAGGACCACACACTTGTGTGAACACCAGAGGCTGGGTTAGGACCTAGGGCTCCCGACTCTTGTTTTATGAGCCTGACTTTAGGTGTTGGAGACTCATGGAGTGCCAGTGATGCAGCCCCTCACACTAGTGAGGAAGCGTCCCATTCAAAGACTTGCTGGTCCTCCCAGTCATTAGCTCCTGCCATCCGTAAGGAGACAGGAACTCCTGGAGACAGTTAACTCCAGAATGAAGACTGGAACTCAGGAGTTTGGCTCTGGTATTCTCCCCTACCTAGCAGCAGCTCCAGGGCAAACAGCAGGCACATAGTAGGCCCCCCAGAGAGGCTTTGTCAGTCCCTTGGTCTCCCACTCCTCTCACCCCTGCCCTCCTCGCCCTGTCTTCCAGGCTCTGATGTCCCTCTTTGTCCTGGCCTCCAAGGATGGCTGGGTGAATATCATGTACAACGGATTGGATGCTGTTGCTGTGGACCAGCAGGTGGGCATGGCTGGGCCACACCAGATTTAGATGGTGGGGAGAGGCATGTTGTCTTTGGGACCTAGAGGTCAGAAACTCATATTTCTGAGACCCATGACCCTGGTGTCTTTTGAACATCAACCAAGACCCACCCTCATGTCTGGCCTGAATTGTCACCATTAGGACCACCCTTTGAGTAACAGAAATCATTTCTCCTGCTCTGCAGGAAAAGGAATCAGTTGCACAGAGGGTGCAGAGCTTGGTGGATGGAGACCATAGGGCATAAGGAGGAAAGGGGCTGAATTGTTGGGCAGAGGGACAGCAGGAGCAAACCTGGGGCGGGAGGGCCAAAGTGAGAGGTAGTTGGTAAGAGGCAGGCAAGCTAAAAGTTCTGCAGGACCCCTGTGTGCCATGGCAAGGGACAGTTCATGCCGACGCAGCGGGGAACCAGCGATGGGATTATCACAATAATACCTTGCTGGTCAAGGTGCTTGTAGGTGCCTCCTGTAGACTACTGGGTGAGGATGGATTTGGTAGGGGGACTGAGTAGAGAGGATAAGGGAGGAGGCTGGGCTTGAGAGAGAGTCTAAGTCTTGAATCTGTAGACCCCCTGACAGTAGGGGACCCCTTGGGTCTAGGAAGGGACTTTAGACAAGGTACATGCTGATCATGGTTGGCTGTGTCCAGGTGAGGGAATCTGAGGGGATGGTTAGAAGAAGGAACAGGGAGCGTCTCTAGGTCAAGCAAGGGGCCCATTCTGGAGGAGCAGGCTGTGGGTAATTCTGGGTCTGTGAGTCACCTCTGACGCTTGGTTTCCTGGGACCCATCTGGTTAGATCTGGAATTAGAGGTGGGTAAGGAGGGTCGCAGGAGATGAGAATTCTTGGACGTGTTTCTCCACCCCCTTGTCTGTTCTGGCCTCTATTCCCAGCAAAGGACTCTACCCACTAGGCTGGACTTGGCTCTCTGCTGGTCACCTTGTTTTTTGTTTGCTTCTGAATGGATGAATAAGTGAATGAGTGAATGGATGGGTGAATAGATGAGTAGGAGGAGGTTGGGTGCTTGGAGGGATGGGTAGATGGAGGGATGGGCAGGTGGGGGTGGATAGATGGATAAGTGGATGGGATGGGTGGATGGGAGGATGGGTGAGTGGAGATATGGATGTGGGTGATGGTGGGAGAATAGGTGGACAGATGGGTGGTGATTGGGTAGATGAGTTTGTGAGTGGATGGCTGGCTGTGTGGATGAATGAGTGGATGGATGGATGGATGGATGGATAGATGAGTGGATACACGAATGGGTGGATGGATACATGGGTTGGATAGCTGGTGGATGGATGGATGCTTACATGGGTGAATGAGTGGCAAGTCAATGAAAGGAAGACAGCAGGCCATTGTGTGTAGGAAACAACCACTGGACCAGGAAAGGAGACTGTCTTACTTGTGTCAGGTCCAGGCTAGACACTTGTCACCTGTTGCCTTGTTTACACTTTACAACCTCTTTGGAGGCAGGCTGTCCTAGCCCACCTTGTGCTGAGGCTTGGCAAGGTCAGGTGCCAGCCTGTGGCCCTGCAGTGCTCCATCAGCTGCCTCAGCCCCCGGCTCTGGCTCCCCTGCAGCCTGTGACCAACCACAACCCCTGGATGCTGCTGTACTTCATCTCCTTCCTGCTCATCGTCAGCTTCTTCGTGCTCAACATGTTCGTGGGTGTGGTCGTGGAGAACTTCCACAAGTGCCGGCAGCATCAAGAAGCTGAGGAGGCTCGGAGGCGGGAGGAGAAGAGGCTGCGGCGCCTGGAGAAGAAGCGCCGTAGTGAGTGGATAGGGGATACTGGCGTGGCAGGGTCTCTGCCCACTGCTGCACCTCCAGGACAGGCCCTGAGGGCTGGCCCTGATTTGGCCCCCTGGGCCTTTGGAGCTAGGTGCCTGTAGCCCAGCCTCTTTCCCCAGATGACCTGAGCCCATTGATGATGACACCTCTGCCCACCTGAGTGAGGCTCCAGGTGCTTCAGTGCAGGCAAAGACAAGGCAGTCTTTCTTGTCAGCTCCACTGAGTGGAAGCTTTAGAACGGACCTGCTGCTCACATTCTCCTCATGCAAGCTGTCTGCAGTTTGGGGACTATCATCCAACTTCCTGGATGATCAACCATAGGACCCTTGTCTCTCCCCAGTGGATCCAGAGTCCCCTGCCTTGGGCCCCTTTGGGGTGCTTGAGTAGAATGTGTGCCCTGACATCTCTGCCACCCTCCCTCATGGTCTCCCTCATGGCGCCCTAACTGGTGTGGGCCAGCATGCTTTCCCCCTTATTTCTGCCTCCTCACTGCCTCTCCCATCTTTGTGCTCCACTCTCTGCGTGGTCCAACCCTGTGTGGTCTGTGCTACTCTCTTCTGCCCCCTGCAGAGGCCCAGCGGCTGCCCTACTATGCTACCTACTGTCCCACAAGGTTGCTCATCCACTCCATGTGCACCAGCCACTACCTGGACATCTTCATCACCTTCATCATATGCCTCAATGTGGTCACCATGTCTCTGGAGCACTATAACCAGCCCACGGTGAGCCTCAGGGTCACCTCCAGCCCAAGGTCATATGGTGAGGATGGGGCCTTAGCAGGACCCCACCCCAGGGACAAAAAGGGGCAGGGGGTCAGCAGGATCATGAAATCTTTCTTTGTTGGGTCTTATGCCGGGCACTTGTGGGAAGAAGGCTCAGGAGAGCTTGGTGAGTCAAAGAAAAGAAAAAGGTCACTCCTTCTGGGAGGGTAGGGGAGGTGGCATTCATGGCAGCATAGAGCATGACTCACAATGGCTGTGGTATGTTAAAAATGGACTCTTTGCAAGGCATGCTGCGTAAATGAATGCTTTATTCTCATAGTAACTTTAAGGTTGGAGGAACCATTATCTGGGTTTTTAGATGAGGTCGAGGCTCAGAAGAGATTAAATAGGCCCCAGTTACTCAGCATAGGTAGCAGAGCCAGAACTACAACTTAGATTCATGGTCAAAGTCTACTGTGCAGCCTCCACTGCCCACTGAACACCCTGAGATTAGGGGAGGATGTTCTGGGGACAGGGCGGTTGCAGGCATCCTCGGGGGTGAAGAGGATAAAATCTCAGAGCTTCAGGCAGCATGCAGGAAGAAAATATGAGGGGCCGGTGCATTCTAAAAGCCTCTGCCTGGCGGACTTGGCAGGAAAGATGGAGCAGAGCCTCTGGGTGAGGAATTAGTATCTTATTTCAATTGACAGAGAAGATGTTATGAATGAAGGGAAAAGGAAGGGAACCATGTGCAGAATGAACAGCCATTGTAGAATCTCCAAATGAACATAAAGAAATGGAGTAATTATTGCTGTCAATTATTTGTCCTGTGCCCAGCACTGAATTGTTAGGTCATCTGATTTTCACAGCAACTTTCTGGTGGGTAGGTGATATTATTGTCCACAAATTTTAGTTGAAGGAAATTAAGTCCCTGGGATGTCAAACACTTGCCAAGGTCACAGAGTGAATAAAGAGTAACTGCTAAGCCAGGATTCAAATCTATAGTCTGAGATTCTTTAACCACTATCCCATACTGACTTCAAAGAGGAGCAACTGGATCAGACCAGAGGAGATAAGGAAACAGCACTGGAAATAATCACACACTAAGACATAAGGAATGAAGAGGAATATAAATAAATAGAAAAGAATAAAACATTAAACTAAATGTAAATGGACTAAATTCTCTCCTTAAAAGGCAGAGGCTGGGGGCTGGAGAGTCGGCTCAGTGGTTAAGAGTACTGGCTGCTCTTCCAGAAGAGCAGGGTTTGAATCCCAGAACCCATATGGCAACTAACCACTGTCCATAACTCCAGTTCCAGGGGATCTGATGCCCTCTTCTGGCCTCCATGGGCATTGCATGACACAGATGCACTTACATACATGCAGGCAATTCACTCATACACATAAAATAAAAATAGTAAATAAAAATATTCTTAAGGGGCTGGAGAGATGGCTCAGTGGTTAAGAGCACTGACTGCTCTTGCAGAGGACCTGGGTTCGATTCCCAGCACCCACATGGCGGCTACGAACCGTCCTTAACTCCAGTTCCAGGGGCATCTGAAGACCTCTTCTGACCTCTGCGACATTGCACAACACGGGTGCACTCACATACATGCAGGCAATACACTCAGACACGTAAGATAGAAATAATAAAAAAAATATTTTAAAAAATATTCTTAAAAAAAGGAAAAGACTCTCTGGTTGTAGGGAGGTTCTGAGGCAGGCCATGGGCTTGAACCACGCTTCTCTGCTCCTGTAGTCCCTGGAAACAGCCCTCAAGTACTGTAACTACATGTTCACCACGGTCTTTGTGTTGGAGGCTGTGCTGAAGCTGGTGGCATTTGGCCTGAGGCGTTTCTTCAAGGACCGGTGAGTGGCTGGGGCACACTAGGAGTTGGGAAGCAACCTCTGATGGAGCCTGGAGGAACCACTGGTGATCATGGGCTCCTAGCTGCTGGACAGTTGCTAGACTAGCTCCCCGGACAGGAGGTGACTAGGTCTCATTGGATGGGCACCGGCCATCTCAGCTCTCCTGTGGATCATCTGTAACCTGGAGACAGAGCATGGTCTGCCTCATGTAGCTTTCCTTTTCAGAGGGAGCCATTGAGACTCAGAGAGATTGATGGACTAGCTTAGTGCCACCAGAAGGATCAGGGAGCTTAGGATTCAGACTTAGAATCTTAGATGTTCTGGGCACAGAAGAGTCAAGAGAGTCTATGCCTCTTCCTCTACTGACCAGAGATATTTCTTAGCTTGGTCCCAGCCCCTTGCTTAAGAAGGAAAAAAGAGGGACTAGACCCAGTGGCATCAGAGAGGTTAGTAGAGAGGGTGGTCACACAGCCTAGTGGGTGCCACAGGAGGGTGATGTACTGGGAGGCCACCCTCTACTCAGAGGTATCTGAGCCAGCGTGCTGTCCCTCATTTCCCAATCCTGCCTTGTCTGCCCCTGAGCAGGTGGAACCAGCTGGACCTGGCCATTGTGTTGCTCTCGGTCATGGGCATCACCCTGGAGGAGATTGAAATCAACGCTGCCCTGCCCATCAATCCCACCATCATCCGCATCATGCGTGTCCTGCGCATCGCTCGGGGTAAGGAGGGGATGGGACAGGACAAGCAGGGACAGGAAGGAATGCCCCATTACCTGGGGAAGCATGCAGAAGTGGGATGGGCGAAGTGGGCAAGAGAGGCTCCCAGCTGAGCAGGAGCCAAAAAGAGCCCATGTGTCACCCCTGTGTGTGCACAGCTTCCCTCCACACTCAGATGCTTCCCCCCACCCACATGCTTGTGTACAGCCCTGCTTCTTCTTAGCACTATGATCTGTGTGGCCCAATCTCAAGCTGTGATTCAAGGACCCTGGTCCAGCTCCATGTGCTACCCGGCATCTCTTGGCCAGGACACTGTCCTCAGCAGGTTATAATTCTCCCCAGAAGCAAAATTGTTCCTACTTTCTGTCAAAATCCAAATGCCACAGTGTTGACTATAGGATTTTGCTTACCTCTTGCCCATTGTCTCCATGTTCCAAGGAGGGAGAGATGCACAGAAAACTGTACAGGTGATACCAGAGTCCTTTTTACCCAGAAAGGACAGAAAGGGATGTGGACCCTGTGTTGATCATCTTTACCACACCACAGTCAATGATGCATTCTTTCATCCATATGCTTTGTGTCTTCCTCACTTCATTGTACAGTCCTACTCTCTTGGAGAGTATCCACTCTTACCCCGTTTGGTCCACACACCCATCATCCTGCAGCCCAGCTTTGTTCTTAAGAGGGGCCCAAGAGCAGACACTGCTCAAACACTGAACCGTGTTCTCTCTCTTCTTGTGAGTTCACTCACCTGCATGTCCACATGTATGTGCATACGTCCCATAACCTGGACTGACAGCTAGGGCTGGGTGTTGCCCACAGTGCTGAAGCTGTTGAAGATGGCCACAGGAATGCGGGCCTTGCTGGACACGGTGGTGCAGGCTCTGCCGCAGGTAAGAGCCACTCCCTCTGGAGCCCTGCCTAGAGCTCACTGTGCCAGGCTGGGCCCTGGGGGGCACAGGCCCTGTTCTCCCTTCTCCCCAGACCTGCCCACACCTAGGGCAGAGTCCCATCCCTGGGGAAGGTGTTTGAGCTAAGGGCCTCTCCTGCCTCTCTGGGAACTCACCACATAGTCACCAGCATCCACTCTGTGTCCAGCCCTGTGTAGACTCTGAGGACTTATACAGTGCCCGTGGGAATCCCCAGGCTGGTTGGGAGATAGATACTTTAGGGCCCCATAGGAGAGAGAAGGCCTTGGTATGCTCCAGGGAGAGGCAAGGCTCTGGTCATTCTCTGCAAAATCAGGGAAAGAGACTTTTGAGCTGGACTTCATGGGAGATGGAGTAATATGGGTGGTGAGGTTCTCATACGTCTTCCAGGAGGGGAAGTACAAGCCCCAGCCTGAGTTTGGGACCATGAGTAATCAGGACTGTGTGCTGGTCAGGTAGCTGGAATCTGGCTCACAGAGGGGGTATTTTTCATCTTGGTAGTTGTGCAGTCTCCCCCGCCCCCCACCTCCTACCTCACCCTGCTATATCCTGAGCACCTGCACTGAGCTGACCCTTGAACACATTCCCTTACTTGTTATGACTCACCTAGTTTTAAGGAACTTTAGGTATCTTAAAATAAAATTAAAACCAATTACTGGGCCTGGTGGCACATGTCTTTAATCCCAGCACTTGGGGAGGCAGAGGCAGGCAGATCTCTGTGAATTTGAGGCCAGCCTGGTCTACATAGCGAGTTCCAGGCCAGCTAAGGAAGGCTACATAGTGAGACCCTATGTCAATTAAAAAAAACCAAGCAAAAACATAAAAAAGCAAACAAACGAAAAAAGGCACAAATAGAGCACACTGAAGGTGAAGATAAAGCAGCTCCTAACTGTTCGTGGAAGATAGAGGCAAAGTCAATTTTCTTGGGGGCCTCTGCTGAGGACAAGGGTAGGCTCTTTTTTTTTTTTTTTTTGAGACAGGGTCTCCCTGTAGCCCCAGCTGTCCTGGAACTCACTATGTAAACCAGGCTGGCCTTGAACTCACAGAGATCACCCTGCCTCTGCCTCCAGAGTGCTGGGATTAAAGGTGTGTCCCGCCATTAAAGGCATGTGTCACCAAGCCTGGTTCTGTTCTTGAGTTTGGTTTGAGCTTCTCAGCAGCCCAGTTCCAAAGGGCAAGAGACATGGTTCTCTTCAGGTCTGGATGGAAAACAAGGACATTTTCTGGGAGGCACGTGCTCCCCCTAATTCCTGGAGTATGGGGGCAATGCTGCAGATAGGAAGTTGGTCAGAGCTCAAACTTGAACCATCCTGCCTGGGATCCAAAGGTGGGCCCTGGGCATGTGGCGTAATTGTCCTGGTACTTTGGTTTCCTTACTTGGGAAGTGGGGTCGATGACAGTATTTCAAGTGGCTGCTGAATGTTTAAAATAACTAAAGATCATGAAGTCATGGGTCCTGGCTCATAGGAAGTGTCCCAGCAGAGTCTGCTACAGGTGGGAATGAGGGTGTGATGTGACAGATGTATGCCCAACCTCTTTGACTCCTGAGCATAGATGAATGACCAGTGCTGAGCTGACACAGGCCATATGGAGATGCTGAGGAGGCCCCAGACAGGAGACATGTGACAGTATTTACAGTGACATCAGCACTTTCTCAAGATGCTGACAGGTGGCTGAGGGGGAGGGACCTGCCCTCAAGATCTATCAGCCTATGTCTACACTGTCAGATGATGAAGTTGTTATTTTTCTCATTGCTATAATAAAGTACTTGACAAAAGCAACTTGAGGTAGGAAGGGTTTGTTTTGGCTCATAGTTCAAGGGTGCGGTTCATCGTGTTACGGAAGGATGGAGCAGGAGCGTGAGGCAGCTGGTCACATTGCATCTGCAGTCAGGAAGCAGAGAGCCTTGGATGTTGGTGCTCAGCTCGATTTCTCTTTTTTAGTTCAGCCCAGGATCCCCAGCCCATGGCATGGTGCTGCTCACATTAGGGTAGGTCTTCCCACCTCAGTTAACCCAATATAGAAACTCCCTCATAGGCATGTCCAGAGACTTGTCTCCTAAGTGATTCTAATTTCTGTCAAGTTGGCAGTCTATATTAATCATCACAGATGGACACGGTGAAGTGCTGTGAAAATGGAACCTCAGCCTCTGTCTACCGACTTTCCCCGCACAGATGGAGAAGGCATTGGGGAAGGTTCAGGAGAGGTGACCTGAACAGGGCTTTGAGGGATCAGGAGGAGGCACTAACAGTTCAAGTCAAAGTGTCTTCCCTGCAGAGGGACAGATCATGCAAAGACCCAGTCCACCTCCCTGTGACTGGAATGAAGGAGTTGGAAGATCAGGCTTGGAGGGGAGTCAGGGTATCCTAGTTTGTCTCTCCATTGCTGTGACAAAATACTCTGACCACTACCAACATGGGGAGGAAAGGGTTTATTCAGCTTACATCTCTCCCAGATCACAGCTCACCAGGGAGTCCAAGGTAGGAACTCAGGGCAGGAACCTGGAGGCAGGAGCTGGAGCACAGGACATGGAGGAATGCTGCTTACTGGCTTGCTCCCCTGGCCCCTGCTCAGCCTGCTTACTTATGCAACACAGGCCCACCTGCTCAGGGATGGCACCATCCACAGTGGGCTGGGCCCTCCCACATCACTCAACAGTCAAGAAGGTGCCCCATGGACATGGCTACAGGCCAGTCCAATGAAGGCAACTCTCCAGTTGAGGCCCCTTCAACACAGGTGTGTCAAGTTGCCACTAAAGCTATCCAGCACACAGGGACAGGTCACAGCAGGCCTTCAGCTCTGGGGCAGCAAACTTGGGCTTTGTCCTGTCCTGTGGGCTTTGGGTGTCCTGTGGTGTGCCAGTATTTGGACAAGAGGGCCTCAGGCAGAGCTTCCTTCTCTGTGTGAGGAGACTGGAGGAGAGGCAGGAAGTGGGTGAGGAGGCTGCTGTGGCTCTCAGGCGCTCAGGGGCTGAAGATGGAGGTAGGAGATGTTTGTAAAAGATAAGGAAGGGATCCTGTTAAGAAATGCCAGCTGATCAGGGCAGAGAAGCTGAGCTCTGTGTAGTCTGGGTCAGGCTGGGTTCTGCACACTCTGGCTTGAGGTGCCCACCAAGTGTTGGCTTCCTTAATGAGTGAGACATTATTAATTAGCCAGGCACTGCAGTACAGAGCAGCTGGGAGGGAGCCCTCCTCTGGAGTGGAGTCTGTGATTAACAGGGTTTACTTTACAGTGATTACTGCAAGTGCCTTCCAACTGTTCGTAGGGGGCTTCTGGAGGGTCAGGCATGAGTTTCGCTTCTAGGGCATGAATGCCTTCTAACCTTATCCATACCATGAGACAAAGTCAGTCTCTCACTGATGGATGGATTTGAACTAGGTTTAGAATCTGGGGTGTTCTGTCCTGTAGGAGCCATTGGATGGGGTTCCTGTGTTTGCAGAAAGCTCCTGGGCCCACAGGCATGTGTGATCTACCCTCATACTTGCCTGTGGTCCACCCCATGCTGGCCTGTGGAGACAAGTCTGACTTCATCCAGTTAGGTCCCAAGGAGCAGAGGGCAGTGACAGACACATGCTGTGTCAGGTTGCAGGCTGCCTGCAGGTGGGTTTCAAGGAGGAGGGGGCATTGCTTCACACACACCCCCTCCCCCATCCATAGGCCCTCACAGAGGCCTAGTGTGCTCAGCAACAGAGGTATGACAGATCCCAGGGCCAGTCTGCTGGACTTAAATCCTAACCCATCATGGGTGGTGATCTGTGTAATTTGACAGGTGACTTCAACTCTCAGTCTACTTTGATTTTCATTTGAATGGGGAAAAAGATGGCTCATAGATTTGTGTGTGTGTGTGTGTGTGTGTGTGTGTGTGTGTGTTATATGTATGTATTTGTGTGAGGTCTGCATGAGGTTAACCTTATTATTTTGTGAGGTGTGCCAGAGGTTAACCTTATTATTTTGAGACAGGTAGTTTCACTAGCTTAGAGTTCATTGATTGGCTGGCCAAGGAGCCCCAGGGATCTTCCTGTGTCTGCCCAGTTCCCCAGCATTGGGGTTGTAGACCTGCACCACCATGCCCAGCTTTTACATGGGTACTGGGGATCTGAACTCAGACCCTCGGGCTTGTGTAGCTTAGTGAACCATCTCCCCAGCACCTTCATAGGTTTTGAGGATAAGTGAGGCGCTCGTGGTGACAGCTTTGTAAGCATTAGATGGATAACCTGTGCTGCACTAGTCTTGCCCTTCTAGGGGTCACCAGGGGGGTGACAGTCATACACCTTCAACTTGGGGAGATGATATAGATGAGCCTGGCCCTGCCTTTGTCCCCCTGGCCAGAGAGGCCTTTCACCTCCACCCTTCCAGCCCAGGGTTCCCTTCTCTTCCCTCCTCCAGTCCTGGACCCCTCTTGCCCATTTTCCGCATGCCTCTAGCCCTCAGCCTAGCCCATCTCTCCCTACAGGTGGGCAACCTGGGCCTCCTCTTCATGTTGCTCTTCTTCATTTACGCTGCCCTGGGGGTGGAGCTGTTCGGGAAGCTGAGTGAGTAACTGCCAGGGCCGGGCTCTCCAGCCTGCTACATGGGGCCGTTGTACAGGGGCGATGCCTCAGCAGCAGGACTCCTCATCCAAACCCGATCTAGGCTTCGGGGTGGCTTCTGAGGCCTGGCTCATGAGTGTACACCAGACCTGTGAGGTGAAGTCCTGTGCCCCAGCTGTCTGGTCTTCTGGTCTCTGCTCCTAGCCACTGCCTGTCTGGAGCCAGCACCACCCCGATAAGCAGAGAGACCAGGGCAAGGGATAGGGTATAGCATAGCCCATGCTAAGCCCAACCCTGAATATAAGGTCAGTTCCAGAAAGCAGGGGTTCCCTGAGGGGCTGGCTCTGACCCCACCCTCCTTCTCAGGAATGATTATTGGGTAGAAGTGCCAGATGCTCCTGAGTCTGAGCCCCAGCATGTGTAGCACCTCCTTGAACCCTAGTTTTCTTATCTGTGGGCCCGGCACTGTTCACACACATTGCTGAGGGAAGATTCTGAGAGGTGCTGGCTGGAGGTGGGTGTCACTGGTAGACAGGGTGATCTCTCCTCTCCTCTCTTAGTCTGCAATGATGATAACCCGTGCGAGGGCATGAGCCGGCATGCCACCTTTGAGAACTTCGGTATGGCCTTCCTCACACTCTTCCAGGTCTCCACGGGTGACAACTGGAACGGGATCATGAAGGTACTTGTGGGCCAGCTGAGGGGAAATCAGGTGGTTTCCAGTCCTGTGTGGATCGTACTGATCCAGACACAGTACCCTTTGCACACCCAGTGTGTACACATGCAGGGAGTCAGAAACCCAGGGACCTTCTGGGACCTCAGTGAAATGGAGCTGTTGCCAGGTCAGGCAGGGCTTTGTTGAGTTGGGGTTTAGGCTGGCCTGAAAAGTAGAAAATAGGAACATGTGCCTGGAAAACCCACACCTCTTCCCGGGGAGGGAGTGAGGTGCGGGCCAGATCACGCCAGAATAGGGCCCTGGGAACTTGGCTGAAACTGAGACAAGCTAAAACCACCATAAGCCAGAGAGGGGCATGAGGGCAGCTGGGACCTGGGGAGAGGAATGAATCCTGGCCCTGTCTCCTGTGTGCATATGGCCCTCTGGTAGTCTTGTGGATCCTCTGTGAGGTACAGGTGAGGTGACCAGCTTGTCCCCGTGGCAGGACACTCTGCGGGACTGCACCCATGATGAACGCAGCTGCCTCAGCAGCCTGCAGTTTGTGTCCCCGCTGTACTTCGTGAGCTTTGTGCTCACGGCTCAGTTTGTGCTCATCAACGTGGTGGTGGCTGTGCTTATGAAACACCTGGACGACAGCAACAAGGAGGCTCAGGAGGATGCGGAGATGGACGCCGAGATTGAGCTGGAGATGGCCCATGGCCTGGGTCCTGGCCCCGGCTCTGGCCCCACCCCACGGCTGCCCACCAGCTCTCCAGGGGCCCCAGGCCGTGGGACAGGAGGGGCAGGTGTTGGGGGTGACACCGAGGGCCACTTGTGCCGGCACTGCTACTCTCCAGCCCAGGTGGGCAGGGGCTGAGAGGTGAATGGGTTGCAGAGGGCAGGAGCCATGGGGCTGGATGGGCAGTTGGACTGGGAGATGCCCTCTGGTATTTTTTTTTTTTCGGTCCTGCTGTGCTCAGCTTCAAGACAGGGGGACCCTGTGATGAGGGGCTCGGTCCCAGGCCATGGGCACAGAGAAAGGGAGGGCAGCTCTGCCCCACCTACCCTGAAGTCCCGGGACCCAGCCGATAATCCCACCTGTCCCCACCCCACCCCGTCCGCCTAGGAGACCCTGTGGCTGGACAGCGTCTCTTTAATCATCAAGGATTCCTTGGAGGGGGAGCTGACCATCATTGACAACCTGTCTGGCTCCATCTTCCACCACTATTCCTCACCTGCTGGCTGCGACAAATGTCACCATGACAAGCAAGAGGTACTGGTGACCTGGGAGGGGCTGGTCCCCCTGGAAGTGAGGTGGGGTAGGAATCCCTGGCTCTGGGTCTGCAGAGGCATACTGGCCCCACTGGTCACAGTAGGTGATCTCTCTAGGCTTGTCTGCAAGGTATAGCCTTGTGGTAGGAGCCAGAGAGCTGTGAACCCCAGAACCTTGTTGTATACAGTAGGTGCTCAGAAGCAGTGACTGTTCCACCTTGGACTACTAGTGCAGGCAAGAACCCTGTGTGTTTCCTCTAGGGCATTTTCCCTTTTCTGTACCAACAAGGGTTCATCAGAGCCCACTCTTCCCCTGTGACCACGGCCCTCCTGACTATCCCAGAGCCTCTCTCAGGAGCCTTCTTAGTCTTGCCTCCTATAGGAGGCTCAACCCCACGCTCCTCAGCGGCAGTTTCTCAGGTTGTCCTCTGGGTCTGTCTCTAGCAGCCTCAAGCAACAACTCCCTGTTCCCCTGCACATGGGCTCCTGAGCTTGTCTCATGGTGTTCCAGGACCAGCCCCAGGTGGCTGTGAGGTCATCCCCAGAGCCTTTGGCAGGAGCTGAATATCTGGGTCTTCACTTCCCCTGCCCTGTGGCTGCAACAGATTCCTTAGGGCCTCAGGTCCTTCTCATTCTCTTGCCAGGGACACACAATGCAAATGGCCCACACAGGGCTCAGGGGAGTCATACCAGCTTAACTTCATGGCCACATGGTCTGGGGAAAGTAGACAGTACAGCTTTGTAGTCCACTGTACCTTGGCTACCCTTGCATCCAGACAACAAGGGGAGCCACCCAGACCTGACACCTCTATGCCACCATCATATGTCATCCAGGCTGGGGCCCTGCACAGAGTGGGCGCATTACCCATGCCCGGCAGGCCTGTGGACCACTCTGACCACTGCCCCATGTCCTTTCAGGGCCCTGTTGCTCAGCGCTCCAGGCCCAGGCTGCCCCATCCCAGCCCCAGGGTGACCCGAGGCCACCACCTCCCCCTGCAGGTACAGCTGGCTGAGACCGAGGCCTTCTCCTTGAACTCAGACAGGTCCTCGTCCATCCTTCTGGGGGATGACTTGAGTCTTGAGGACCCCACAGCCTGCCCACCTGTCCCCAAGGACAGCAAGGTGAGTGACCAGGTGTTTCTCCCACTGCTCTCCTATGTGTGATGTTAGGGCACACAATTTCTTTGGCCAAGTGGGGTTCAGGCAGGGTATAGTCTAGTTAACTGGGGCTACATCTTGTGTTGGAACTCAGAGGGCAAGTTGTAAGTTGAGGTGGTATGGGCTCATCAGCCTCACAGGGGTCATCAGGTAGCTCTCAATGAACTTATTATGTCAGGGTTCACTGTTCTATGTGTAAGACCCCAGGCAGAGGCCAGTATGAATGTGGAAACTGAGTCCTGGCAAAGGGCTGGGCCCACCTAAGATCATGTTGTTATGCCTTCACACCCTCTGTGACTGCTGTACTGGGCCAGACCTGAGCCAGTGCTTGGTTACAGAGATGATAAAGACCCTGTATTGTCTCCAGACTGACAGAGGCAGGAGGTGAAAGAAGGGGGTACTGCAGCTGCCTGGGGCATCCAAGAGGGTTTCCTGGAGGTGGGGAACTTCCACCTGAGTACTGGAAGGTGATGATTGCTGGCCACGTAGAGGAGGCTAGAGGAAGGGCTTTCCAGTCAGTGGTGGAGGCTCTGCAAGGGCATGAAGGCAGCCATGGGGGCCCTGCCACTGGTCCCCTCCACCTTCCTGATTCCTCTTGCCTGCAGAGTGAGCCAGAGCCTCCTGAACCCATGCAGACAGGAGACCTAGATGAATGCTTCTGCCCCTTTGCCAATGCGCCTATCTCCGAGGGCCAAGAGAGCCTGCTGTGCGATATGGAGGCCATCCCGTTCAACCCTGTCCAGTCCTGGCTGAAACATGAGAGCAACCAAGGTGAAGGGCACAGCCCAGCCAGCTCCCCATACCCTGATTCTAAGCATCTAAGCTTCCTGGGGGAGGTGATGAAGTTGTTTTTCCAGAAAGAACCAGATCTGGCAATCAGAGAAAGACTCAAGTCTGATACAAAAATGATAAAAGAGGTAGTCAATGAGATATTGAGTCAAAAGCCTGGGCTGGGCTTCATGCTGAGCTCCCTGTGTGCTGTGATGAAAAGGGAAATAGATTGCCAGGTCTGGCTCTCATGGTCTAGCAGAAGGAAATCCCCCAGATCATTGAGTTTTTGTAGAACAGAATTTGAGGTGTTTATCGCTCCTAGATCTTCTCACAAGATGATGCCAAATGACAGGAAGCCTGGTGTTTTCAGTGGCCTTAGGTAGAAGGCTCTTTATCCCAAATACCCTTTAATGGCTGGTTTGTGTTTTGGGCCATAGTTGGGCTGTTGGAACTGGCCTACCTGTCACTTGGGCTCCCTTTTGGAGGGTGACAGGAATCTGGTTTGACAGCACTAGCTGAGTGGGGAGAAGGGCATCCCAGCAGAAGAGGGGCCCCTAAAACCCTGAGCTCACCCTAAGTTGTCTTCTGGGATGTGACTGAGTACTTTTCCATGGAGAATGTCCACTGAACATAATGGCAGGGTCAAACTTCCCGATCACAAAGTCTAAGCCCAGGGTCTGACCCCAGGCCTGTTGTGATGGGATGTCTCTTCAAGAATACAGTGGTACAGAGCAGGAATCACATTCAGGACACAGCCACCTGGTGCCCACTCACATATTCTGAATCCTGTGTCCCCTCTTCATCCTACAAGGTGCATAGGGGTACATATAGGTGCATCTGAGCCTTGCACACAAAGGCCTGCCCTGCCTCACGTTGCCCAGCCTAACCTTTCCCCTTTCTGTCCCCAGTGGAGCAACCCAGGCCCATCAAGCAGCTTTTGCAAGGCCAGTGCAAGACCTGGCCCAGGCCTGGAACCCCACCTTCCCTACTGGGGCCCCCAGGCCTAGCCAGGGCCTGAGAAATGATGAATCATAGTGATTGAATACCTGCTGGGTGCATGGTGCTGGGCTGGGTGCGCTACACCTGCCGCTTAGCTGCAAACCCTTTCCCTGTGTAGTACTTTCCTCATTGCTGTGATCAATTACCTGACAAAACCAACTCGAGGAAGGAAAGGCTTATTTTGGTTCACAGTTTGTGGGTACCGTATACCATGGTGATGGTGGTAGCAGGAGTGTGAGGCAGCTGGTCACGTGGCATCCACAGTCAGGAAGCAGAGAGTGATGAATGCTGGTGCTCAGCTCACTTTCTCTTTTTTTATTCAGTCGAGAACCCCAGCCCATGGAGTGGTTGTTGCCCATTTTTAGGGTGGGTCTTCCCACCTTAATTAACCTCGTCTGGAAGCTCCTTCATACATGTCCAGAACTTTCTCTCCTAGGTGATTCTAGAACCTGTTGATAATCAGCGATAACCATGACATGTCCCCTGGGTTAGTGTCTGTCCAGAGGAAGAGGCTTAGGGGTCAGGCCTGGAGTCTGGTCTGCTTGACTCTGCTTAGGGCTGGTCCCCCCAGGAATCATACCAAATGGTGTCATGTTTCTTTCAGTGATGAAACCAAGGCTTCGAGTTGGACACTTGCCCATGCTTGGTGATAAGTAGCCCCTTTCTGCCAGCCCAGTGAAGGCTGCTGTTCTGTGCCCACCCTCCAGGGCTGCCCCCAGCTCTTCCTCTTCCTTCTTTGCAGCGCTTCCGAGCCCTTTCTCCCCAGATGGCTCCAGCCCTCTCTTGCAAATGCCTGCTGAGTTCTTCCATCCTGCTGTGTCTGCCAACCAGAAAGGGCAGGAACCAGGCATGGGCACTGGGACCTTGCCCAAGATCGCACTGCAGGGCTCCTGGGCATCCCTGAGGTCGCCAAGTGTCAACTGCACCCTCCTGCGTCAGGTACAGGCACCTCCTGGGCTCTCAAGAGTATCCTTGCTGGGGTGTTTGGAGTGAGGGGGAATGGGACAGGACACACAACCCTGAAAGTGTGGGTGGGTGGGAGTCAACTGGGAGCCTCTGTGAGGTCAAGCCTGGGCTCTGACTTGGAACTGGAAAGGATGACTCAGCTTTCCAGAATGGGCAGTGGGACAGGGAGCCCTGTGGGAGGTGTCTTTAATGACTACCCAGAGAAACCCCCAAAATGCAGATGTGGCAGAGGGGATGCTGTGGGATCCAGGATCCCATCACTAGACTGTCCACCGGGTGCTAGTGAGTCCTCTCCCTACCTCCCTGCAGGCCACTGTCAGTGACACATCTCTGGAAGCCAGCCCCAGCAGCTCAGCAGGCAGCCTGCAGACCACATTGGAAGACAGCCTGACACTCAGCGACAGTCCCCGGCGTGCTCTGGGTCCACCTATCCCCACACCAGGACCACGTACCGGCCTGTCGCCTACCACCCGGCGCCGTGTCAGTCTGCGTGGCCGTGGCCTCTTCAGCCTGCGTGGGCTCCGGACCCACCAGCGCAGCCACAGCAGCGGCGGCTCCACTAGCCCCGGCTGCACCCACCATGACTCCATGGACCCCTCGGATGAGGAGGGCCGCGGGGGCACAGTTGGTGGGGGTGCAGGCAGCGAGCACTCCGAGACCCTTAGCAGCCTGTCGCTCACCTCGCTCTTCTGCCCACCACCCACACTGCCACCACCCGGTCTCACACCTGTCAGGAAGTTCAGCAGCACCAGCAGTCTGGCAGCTGGCTCGAGCCGTCCAGGCACCACTGCCCCAGCCCGAGGCCTGGCCCGGAGTCCCTCCTGGGCCGTGGACCGTAGCAAGGACCCGCCACACCAGGCCCAGCCCACCCCAGGCTTGGGCCCCTCAGCACCAGAGCCTCAGCCTCCTCCCGGGGAGCTGGAGTCCACTGATGCTGCCAGCAAGAGGAAGAGATGAGGGGCCGCAGGGGCTGTGGGGGACTTGCTTCCCGCTGTCCACCTGCCTGCCCCATCTCGCCTTCTTTTACCTCAGGAGCCAGGGAGCAGACAGCAATACTTTGTCCACACCTGGGAGTGGCATAGGGGCCAGTCAGCGCCAGGCCACTGAGCTGGTGATTGAGGACAGCCTGGGTTAGCAGAGGCTCAGCTGTGGCCCCAGCCGTGGCCTGTTCAGCGTTTATGCAGATATATACATATATATATATATATATAGACAGACATATATTTATTTTTTTTACTGAGAGCTTATGACTTCCAGAAAGTGCTAAAGTTGAAGATGCAGGCCGGGGCCCAGACAAGGGTCTTGTCTATTGCTTAGGACACAGGCCTACCCAGTGCAGATGCCTCTGTGGTAGTTTTAGATGTCTCCCTGTGTTGGGAGCAGCTTGGGAGGATGCTCAGGGCCCAGTTGACAGGCCCAGGAGGAGAGAGGCAATTCAGGGTGCACTTTTTTCCCTTTAATGAAGAGACGCTGCTAAGATCCCCCCACCTCCACCCATGTGTCAGGGTGTCTGTCTTGTCCCTTTGACTATTTCATTGTTGTGAAGTTGTTTGTAGACATCCCTGCCACGCCAACTCTTTTAGTTAGATGAATAGATGTTCTCTTTAGAAAAATCAGGGGTGAGTAGTCATATTTCTTAGAGCAGGGCTGGGGGACAGGGCATTTCTAGGCTGGGCAGGAGCTCAGGTGTCAGGTAAAATCTAGACCTCTGTAAGCAGTTTTGGGGGGGTAGTTTTATCCCCAGAAATGCCCCAAACAGGAGTAATCAATGCAAGAGAAAGGACAGATGAAGGGATTGGTGATGCCTTCTGGTCCACACAGATGCCCCAGGCTTGGGCAATTGGTTGCATAGGAATTTACTGTCTTTTATCCCCGATGCGGGCCTCAAACCGCAGCCATTCCTGGATATTATGGTCACCCTCTCTGAGCAACTCTGCCTCTGCCCAGGGGAGTTTGGGATTTCAGAAAATCCTTAGCCTCCTTGCTGGTCACAGGACACCCACATCCTCTGGCTCTTCTGCCCACCCCCAGGTATGTCTCACTGTCTCAAGCTGCAGGTCAGGTCTTTCTATGGTAGTGCTTCCCAAATGAGTCCAGGACGGGTGGTTTTTTTTTTTTTGAATAGTTATCCATTTATTTCAGTATTTATTAGAAAAAAATATATACAATGATCTCACAGGCTCATTGCTTAGGTCCAGGCTAAGCTCTAAAGAGTAGGTGAGTTTGGTGTCAGCTTTGAGAAGAATAGGGGTATGCTGGTAGTGATGGTCTGCAGACAGGGCAGGAGTGTGGGGTGCTCACCTGGATTGCCATGAGCTGAGGGTCCTGCTGAGTGGGGAAGTTTGTTCCTGCTCCCAAGCTCTGACTTCACAGAAGTTGGTTTCTAGCCAGGCTGGCGAGCAGCAGCTGGGTTCACAGGCTCTGGGGTCTTCCCGGCTGGCACAGGGGCCCTGGGGGTCTGGGTAACAGTGAAGTGAGGAGGAAAAGAATGACATACAAAGTCTTCCTTAGAGCTGAGGTGTGAGAAAGGGTTGCTAGGCCCCACACATGGGGAAACTGAGGCTCTGAAAAAGTGAAGCTGCTGTGTGGTAGCCCTCAGGGCCCTGGCAGCTAAGGGCCCAGGGCATCCAGAAGGGCCCTGGCCTGAACACCCGGCATGTGCACCTACCTCCATGTCTGGAAGGAGGGTGACTTGGTGTGGAGCTGGCGTTGTTGTAGCCAGGGTGTTCTTTCAGCTTCACCCGGATGGTCTCTGATACCATCCAGCACCCTCTATCTTTTGGGTCCAGTATCCGTCTATCTAGCTCAGTCTGCAGGGTGGCCATATGTGTGTGCTGCTGTTCATGGCCCACTTTCTCCTTGTCCCTGGGCTCTGAGGCTGGGCCAGGATGATGTGCAGGCATCTGTACCTTTGTTCTGGACTGCGATCCCAGAACAAGCAGACAATGTTGAAGAAGGTATTCTAGGCAAATGGACAGGCTTGAGCAAAGGCCCTGGCTGGGCATAGCAGGGTGTTCAGAGAGGATGATTAGCTGAGCCTAGAGGCAGAAAGGCTATGCCCAGGGTGGGTTTCTCTAGGGCCCCAAAGGCCAAACCTGGGCCTTGTTCCTATGGGTGTCTGGGGACAAGGGAAGTTGTGAGCTACTGGCCAGGATGAGCTGCAATGGGCAGGGATTGGGCAGATGGCCCCTCCTCAACCCTGTGGCCAGGGGCTGTGGCCTCAGCCCATGCCTGTCCATCACCAAAGCACAAACTTCCCCAATCCACATGGGCCTGGCTGTGGGGAGAATGGGGACCCAGGTGCCAACACTCTAAAACTGTTTATTTGCCAGGCTACGTGGTGTGGAGGCTGGCGGGCACCACGGCATCTATAGAGAAGGGTCTGGAACCACACAGAGCCAGCCCTGGCCTCATCCTGTCCTCTGCTCTGCCTTTTCCCCAGGCTGCCCCTCAGAGGAAGACGAAACATGCACAGTACTAGCTGGTCTGCCTATTCCCCAACATCTATCCCTTCTGGAGCTCACTGCTCCCAAGCTCACCTCCAGCCCCCCTTTGCTGTGCTGTGTAAGGGCTTGGGGTCTTAGATGCTGCTGTTTAGCCCAGACACACATACTCTCTTTTTCTGTCTTTGTGCAATAATCAGTGTCCCTGGCAGAGTGAGGGCCAAACTGGGGTCTGGAGAGGAGGCACAGGCCACCTTGTCCAGGAGGTCCCCAGCCCAGCTCTGCCACTGTGACTCTAGCACTCCCTGGTCACTGTACAGTTTCTACTATGTGAACGAACTTCCCTCCTAGTTGCTGAAGGCGCTGGACCCTGCTGGCCCAGATGGCCCGGGCGTAGAGAAAACAAGCTGCACCGCCAGCCAGCATTGTTTTGAATAAAACCCCAGAAGCCTATTTAGGAATTTCTCTGTGTGTATCTGCTTTTTCTCCTTTACAGGGTTGGGGTTGTTAGGGAACTTTTCCCGAGGGAAGAATGGTTCTTCATGTGTGATGTGTTCTTCATGTTGAGGCCACAGGGTCTGGGGTTGTTGGGAATGTAGAGACCCTATGGCAGGGTCCTCTTGTAGTCAGGGCCTGGATGGGGGCTGCAGGTCTGGGGATGAGGCAGGGGAAGGAGGAACCTTCTTACCTTTGACACTGGTTCTTGAGCTTATAGTATTGGTGTTTTCAGGAATTCTTGGCTGCGGAGGACAAAAACCAACTCAAATGTACTTAAGAATGAAAGATGGGGCTGGAGAGATGGCTCGGTGGTTAGGAGCCCTGAATGTTCTGCAGGGAACCTGGGTTTGGTTCCCAGCATCCACAGTCTCTCTGCCTCTTGGCTCTGCTGCTTCTGTGTCTGCTTCCACCTCCCTGAGCCTTACCACATTTCTCTGGGCAGCCTGGAAACATCTTAGGGCAAGATCCTTGCTCAGCCTTCCTCTGGGTTGACTAAGATACGTGCCGTGCCAGAGACACTGTGCTGGTCATTGAGCAGGCTTGACCACGTACTCTCTCAGGGATCCAGGCTGGGGGTGGGGGGCAGGGGGAGTAGCTCCTGCATCATAGCCCAGCAGTAAGATTCAGGTCCCACCCTCCTGCTGAGGCCCTGGGAACAGTGACTGTTAGCCTTGCGGGGGGCCCAGGGGCCCTGTGACAGACAAGTCATCTTGATACTGGCTAGTTGAGAACTCAGGAAGAGCCAAGCTGACTGTTAGAGCACCTAGGAGGACACCTGCCCCTTCTAGGCATCCCCTATCCCAGTGGGTATCCTTTCCTCAGAGGCTGACCAAGGTCTGGGAATACCTGCATGACTGGTGTGGCCTATAGCACAGCACCTCCTTCCCTCAGGCCCTACCCATTCTGTAGGCAGAGCTGATCTGAGGCCAGGGATCCCAACTCATCCTGCCCATTGTCACCCTTGGTCTGCCCACCCTTGCTCACTGCATCTCTGTTCTAGGGTTTCCATTCTGGTGCCCATAGAAGTTTTATGAAAAAGCAGAAGTCAGTGAGGCAGTGAATGGGTGGGAAGTCCCAGACTGAGACTGAGGTGGGTGACTACAGCACTATCCAGAGCACCAGGCTTTCTCCCTGAACCAGTGAGACTGTAGAGCCCCTTTAAAGGCCTTCCTTACTCAGGCAGCTGCCTCATTGTGGCAGCAGAGATGGTATGTGTATGGGGAAATGTGTTTGCCTGTTGGCTGATGATCTGCACGTATCTGGGCACATGCGCGCGCGTGTGTGTGTGTGTGTGTGTGTGTGTGTGTGTGTGTGTGCAGACACAAACACCAGTTGCTATGCCTGAGGCTGTTAATGGGCCTGGTTTCCACTCCAGGGCCACCTTGGGTCCAGAAGGCACCTTACCCCATTTCACAAATGACACAAAGCAAGGCACTCTACAGGGCAGGCCAGACCCTGAGTCTGCATTAGAATCTTGGGATGTATGATTCAGGGCCAGCATCTTCATTCCGAGCCTCATTCCTGGGATACCTGGCTGAGGGAGGCACCCAGCAAGCCTTTCTTCTCTGTTTCTTGGCCCATCATGGCAGATCTGTTGACATCTCCTAGGGATGTTCTACAGGGGCCTCCAACCGGCTTGAGCTTTTTTCCTTATGTTCCTGCCAGTCTTGGGCCTTCAGCTTCAGAGGCACATCCCATTGATGAGGCTTCTGGAACTTTGAATGTGACCTTGACGCCTCCCTCTACCTCCTTAGGCATCCTATGCTCTCAGACCCATGGCCAAACCAGCATCTCTCTGGAGTAACCTTTTCCCACCTCTCATCACAACCACCCACTCAGGCCCCACCATCTCGATGGCTCCAGATTGTGACATAACTTCCCAACCCTGCTTTCACCAGGCACCCTGACCACCTCGCCTCTCATAGCCCTGAGATAACGTTTTAACTCCCTCTTACCTGGTTCCCAGCAGCCTCTCTTATAACTCCTCTTTCCCATCTGCCCCTTCTGTCCCTCCTAGTTCCCCTCCTCCAGGCTTTGAGGTGATGTCTGGGAATGAGGCAGGTCCTTCTTTGCAATCTCATCTTATCGTGTCATGATGACACTGAATGGTGGGGATTCATTTCTAAGTTTGTCTCCTCTACAAAACTTGAAGTTCCAAGAGTAGTTTGTTTCTGGGTCCTAGAGGACAGCTATTGGCCAGACCAGGTAGGCGCTGTAGACAGAACTTAGATGGATGGATGTTAGAGTGCTGGAAGAAGCCATGAAAGGAGGGAGGAAGGGAAGCAAGCAGGGCAGAGGGCTGTGGCTGCCTGGCTGAAGAAGGGTTTGGTGGCACTCCCTCCTGGCAAATGGAGGCAGCAGGCCCCCTCCCCCAGGACTTCTCAGGTTTAGGGCTGGTACTCTGGGCGGTAGGGACTGTGTGGCCAGGAAGGAGATTGAGGAACTGGCCAGTTGAAGAGTTCCAGTGGCCAGGAAAGGTGAGAAGGAGACAGAGGAGGAGGGAAGGAAAGATCCAGATGTAGGGGAGCCTGCCGAACACTTCAGAGCCTTCATTCTGTTGGAGCTCCAGAGTGGGGCATGGGACTGAGGAACACTGTGTGCTCCTGGCCATGCTGCACCTCTTACAGCCCAGATGCCCCTTTTGGCTCCAGGTTTGTTCTGCACTGGCCCCAGAGCCCCTACTGCCTGGCTTGGCAGCTACCAGTTTGCCTGTCTCTTCATCTTGCAGATGGCTGAGGCAGGAAGGCCTCTATGTACGCAGGGCAGAGTGTCAAGGGCAGCAGGCACACTGGCTGGCTTCACACACTATGGCCAGTGGCAGAGAGGGTGACAGCATCTGCAAGGCCCAAAGTGAAGCCTCTGGTGGGCCTTGCCTTAGTTCTACCCACACCAATGAGGAGACGGACCTATAGATGAATGTATGGGCTCCCTCCCTCTATTCCCAGGTCCAGTGGCAAGGGTGATCAGGTTGTGGTTCAGGTGGGTCCATTCCCCAGAGAGTGTTTGCTTCATTCTGCTCCAACTCTGTCCCAACTTCAGACTTGACTCTGTGGCCCTGAATACCAGTGCCTTCACAAGTTCTGCCTTCACAAGGACCAAGGCTTACCACAGAGCCTCACATGTTCTCTTGACCCTTCCTCTAGGGGTTCAACTTGAAGGTTACTTCCTCCAGGAAGCCTTCTCAGTGGTCTTGTGGCTTGGGTGGATGCTCACCCTTTGATTCACAGATCCAGCTTGTCCTGTGGTACCCACAATTCCTCCCCAGGGTCATCATCTACTTTCTGAACCAGTCCCTTACCAGACTACACCAGGTCAAGGACAGCGACCACGACTCCTCCTAGCCCAGAGCCTGGGGCATCTCAGCCTGGACACAGGCATGCCATTTGGCTGTATTTTGGAATCAGAGGTATTTGAAACCTTTTTCCTGTCCCCAAGGAAACAGTTCCAGAGAGGTTCATGGCATGTTCTGAATCGCACAGTGAGGAAGGGGCCAAGGGTGATCGTCCCTCCAATTGGGGCTGGAGAGCCAGCACCTAGCTCTCCCTGTGCTGGCCCAGTTCCCTGAGAGCACTCAGAGCCCTGTGTGTTTTCTTTTACGAGTCAGCAGCACTATTAAAAGCAAGAAGCTGCCAAGGAGAGATTGGCTTAAAACAAAACAATCCAAGAACATTTTAAGAGAGTGATAAACTTCAGCCATCAGCACTTTTATTTAGACCTGAATTCATGAATTTTAACCAAATAAACACAGGCATGTTAGGTATTAATATATGTACCATTATGCAAAACCACTATTATGGTTGTAATGAAAATTAGATTCTGGCTCAGTGGTAGGATTCCAGGAGGGAAGGCATCCTCTGGCTCCCATTGCTGTGACCTCGGGTTGCCGTTGTCATAGTAACAGGGCTGCCATGGGAATGTGTGGACTAGAGACTGGCCTTGTGGGGTGGGGTGAGAGCAGAGCTGTGAACTTGCCAGCCCCCTCATCAGCCCTGAACCTCAGAAGAGAGGAGACCAATGACCAGTGTGACAGGTTGCGGGGGTGGCCCACCTGTGTCCTTATCTCTCTTCTCTGAACTAGACAGCTCTTCCACGGAGGCCTGAGAGTGCAGTGTTGCCAGGCAAAACTCAGGACACCCCACTGCATTTGAATTTCAGATAGGAGCTGGGGTGAGTTCAGTGGCAGAGTACTTGCCTGGTGTGCCCTGTTTCACCCTCAGCACTACAAACAAATGACCTCCCTCCCCCAGATTAAGCACAAGTTTTTTTTTGTGTGTGTGTGTAAGTATGTCTCATGTAGTACAGGCACATACTTAAACTGACAATTTGTCGCCTACCTGACATTCAGATTTAACTGGCCATCCCATATTCCTTGCTAAATCCAGCCAGTCTGTCAGAGAGCAGAGGTGACCTGCCCAGGTTCTGAGCTGCAGAGGTGGCCATACCTATCTATGCAGCCCTTATCTTTGCCCTAGGCCTACTGGAGGTTACTCGTCATTCCTGGCCTACCTCTCCTATAAATCCTTACCTTTCTGAACCTGGGGGTGCATGGCATCTAGGTGATGAGCCATCTGATCCCACCCCTGTCACACAGTTCTATGGCACTTGATGATGCCAGGACCATTGTGATGCCTACTGGGCCCTGGGTGTGCTAGTCCTCACCCATGGTCTGTGTGACGTCACCGTGACCGGCTTTGTCCTCCGCCCTGCTTCCTCTGCTGGGCTCTTCTGCCCTGGCTCACTCTTCTTCAGGTGCTGTGATGCCTGTCCCATTTTCCACAGTGCCGTCTGCTGTTCTCAGCAGCTCCCTGCCTTTCCCTACTTGGATGGATTATATATCGCTGGTATTTCTCTTTAGCAAATGCCTGCTTGCTGTAGGGAGGTGTTTGACTTTATCAAGACTTCTGACATTTATTTCCAAAAGCCCAAAGGAGAACTTGGAGTTTGTGA